TAGGTGCTGGGTAAGTGCGAAATTGGTATAGAAAACGTCGTCTGTGCGAAGGATGTGATTGGGACGGCTCCGACGACTCCAAGAGGTAATGTGCTTTATTAATGAGCCGTTTGTATCATACGTGGCTACCCCTTCAGTGATGAGTCAAAGGACTCCATGTTCGATTTCGACGAAAGTGAGCTCAAGGTTAAGCTCCGTTGGAAGATCAAGCGTTCTGCCAAGTTCTCCGACGAGGACGGTCGTGAGTTCGCTACTGTCGGCTTGCAAATGAAGGGCATATCGAAGTGTGAGGTTGAAGTTGACGAGGAGAAGGATAAGGAAAGCGATGAAGATTGGGATGCTACTGCTAAGGTTAAGAACGTCTGCTACACTCTGGTAAGATGAAGGCTCCTCGACCATGTGTGTTTATATTATGATATTAGTCTATCGATGGCAAAGACTATGACGTGACTGTTGAGAAGGGTAACTGGGAGCACTGGGATCGCACGTGGAAGGTGGATAACATGTTCGATGTGGAATACAAGCAAAATGATGGTGCTGATGAGGTCATCGTTAAGACCACTGATCTTGAAGGCAACCCCGGGCATGTAAGCACTGAATACTAGCACTTCTTTCTCGACGATTTTCCTCAGGATCTCCTCATCGCCTTCGCCATGAGCGAATTTATGCATCCATGCCGTCAGCTTACTAAGCTTAACCAAGCGGCTGTTCAGATTGGAAGGAACGCTATGATGCAGCATCGCAACTAGACGTGTAACGACAGTTGCAGCCGTTACTAGTCGATCATAATATATTCATTATTTTTCGGCCTTCTCACCAGCGATACGTAGCAGGTTTTTCTTCGCTTCGCGATATTCCAACAACAGTAGTAACTAGAATACTCATAATCATTATTTACGTTCCTAACAGTGTGTTCACTCAGTCTTGACACAAAACATTGTTTCGAGGATTAGTTGAACTACTGAGATCAGTTGGTAGTGGTCAATGGCATCCGTGGAGTAGCAAAGAGGGGCGTGGCGTTAATCTATTACCGAGTAGAAAATACCTCGGGAAAAAGAAGTGCGTGTTCTTTTAGAAATTGTGATGTAGGTCTTGCGCGTCGCGTATAATTGAGACTCCCTCACTATGTAGTGCAAATGCCGATGGATTTGGTCGACGATCTAGTACGCAACTCGCAGATCCAAGTCATTATGTCTTCACTATAAATGAGTCGATGATGAGCACAACGTTCATACAAAGCCTTTAGATTGAATAAACTTCTTCTCGAAATATTATGCGCATGTCTACTTCCTGCCGGTCCTCGCTAGATAATGAATGAACTTGGTTGCCGCCATTGTACCTGGATTCAAAGGATAACAGAGCATCCTAATCAATCTGCGGCCCACCAGCTGCATAGGCTAACACAATCATCTCCCAGGTGAAATTAGAATACGATGATGACTGTGGTGCATCTAGAAAGTACCAAGATGATCACTCTACCCAGAATGGGGGAGTCACCTTCATCCTCTGCCCTACCACTTGCGACCCAGTGATTATGGAACATACCCTAGATATGAAGGACTTCCATTCACTGCTAGATGTCGGTTTATTACGTGTATGATGAAGGAATTGACGACGAGATATAGAAGGACGTTGGCTCCACAATGCTCGAGGAAGTCGATAACATAGGAGACCTGTAGATGAATGTGGAGCGGATTCAGAAACCTGTTCATTGTTACCGTTGGAATGTCCTTCATGAAGGCAGCGATAAACATGGAGAATATGAGCACGGAATGGGAGAGAACTCCCCACGCCAGAATAACTTTGTAGTTCCTGAACACGTTTGTGATAGTTCCCCCTGTCCATAGTGATACCACTCACATAGGAAACCTGACGTAGCCATTCCAGTCGAGATATTCCCAGTCAACTTGAGGATTCTTGGCTAAAGGTATTAGAAAAGCCAGCTCCACCTATGAATGAAGAGAAGGACATGCTTTACATGTTGATAGCAATGGCGCCGTTACTAGCAATAGCAGGACAAAAGCAGCTATGTATGGTAGGAAGTTGTCTTGACGGTAGGTGCCAGAAGTGGCAGGCGACGGAAGGCCGCTTTCATTGTCGACTTGGGATGGAGTAGAGACTTCACTTAGGTCATCAAGGGCTTGGGAGCTCGGGAGATGCGAACGGCGGGATATGTCCGATGCTGCCAGATGAAAGGCCATGGATACGTGTACATGAACGCTCTCCTCACCTCGAGGGAGGCCTCCCGAGTATTCTAATAGTAACTGGCTGACAATGCAGCCGAAATTGAAGTAGAACATATACGGTATGGCTGGAAATCTGGTGGCTCGGAATTTCAAGGGACGACAGCCCACGAAGAGGCCCAAATACCTGTTGACCATACAACTCGGCTAGAGGACATCACCCCATAGTCTTACCTTTCTCCGATGGTATCGCAGTGAGTCAAGTGGTAAGTGCTGAGGACAAGTGGCCAACCAAGAAGGAATGCAAACAGTACCAGACGCGCTAGAGGCCTCTGGTGACGATACCGCCTGAAAGCTGGCATTCTGATGACAGCTCAAGGGTGTGGATCTCACATAGAGAAGGCAATGATGGGCTTAGTAGAGAGAAATCCCATGAGGAGCTCCAAAGGGAAGGCGGCCAGGAAATCCCAGTATACAGTCGAGAGCTGAACAGGAGACGATATGCATGAGATCCAGACACAGTGTGCTCCAGCACCGTTATGAGCTCGATGATCTCCCTCATAGCAGGCATGTGGTCCGCCACCGATAAGCTGAATGTAATGTTCATGAATATTAAAGCCAGAAGGACGAGGCCGACCGATCTGCAATAGGCACATGACCAAGTTTAGGTCAAGGGAGATGGAAGTACCGGAAGACTCTGGTAAGGGTAGTGGAGAGTGGCCTACTCTTGGTATTCACTAAGTAACTTCGATAACACATAAAACCATAAGCTGTAGAGAAGCACGTCATGTCGAGGGAGCAAGCCGCCTAAGAGCCAACAGGTGAAGGGGAAAGGGTGTTGACCCTCATGACTTTAGAGAAGATGTGCATAACGGGCCAATGGGTCATATCCATACCAACATGAAAGGATGATCTGGTATGTTCAACCAGCATGAAAGTAATGAACCAGCCCTTGAAAATGTCGATGCCAGAGCCTGGCAGCAGAAGCATCGTGGTCACATCATCACTGGCTTACTCTTACTGACGAAACGCTCGAAGTCTTCACGATTTCGCCAAGGCCTGGTACTCGGCCAAGTGAAGGCACCCTTTTGACCTTTCTTCGTTATGGTAACTTGCTTCCTCAATAGCATTTGATCATCAGAATCTTCGCCGCTCACACCTGCAAGATTCAGCAGTGTTTGAAGACTCGACCACGAGTGCTCGATTGCCCACGCTGACGAATCCTATTGCTGTCATGAATGGTTCCCGTCGTTGGGAATTGAGTCATAGGATGTTCAACGGGTTTATAGGAGGATGGTCGGAGCACAGCAACGGTTGGTCGGATGGCGAGTAGCGCTAACAGAAGCGAAGTCAGAAGTTGAGTATCACATCCATCATTGACAACATAAGCTGTGTGAATCAACTGATAAGCTTCCATGACGATTATCATGAGTGAACCTCAGCGAGCAGCGCCTTGTCGTAGCCCGGATTACAAGCCCACTGCGAGACCAAACATCTCTCTGAGACGGGCCCGATGTCGATGCTCAATACCCAAGCTTTGTACCCAACGGTATCATTCGAGACGACCCATAGAGGATACATTTCCTAATGTAGCTCTTCTTATTTATCTCACCCGACCACTTTAACCAAGCATTGCAGATTCATTCTGAGGCGTGTAACTCACGAAAGGTAAATCAGCCGTCGATAACTCGTTCACCTATGTGTACAGCTTCGAGACACCCAGAGAGCCATGTTGGGGTACGGCACTGTCTCTCCCTTGCACGAAATGAGAGAATACTCGATACATGATGACAAGCCTGCCGACTATACACACGTGTACATTGCTATATTGCAAGTGCATATTATAAGTATTATTGCAAGTATAAGTGCAATTATACATTTATCCATTCTTCCCAGCTCGACCGCTCTTGCAAGCAACCTCCTCCCTGCTTTTATCGTATCACAGAGTGTGGAGTCATGGCACCATTGAACCCCGCTTCCCGGCAGCCACAACTGGTCGCGTGGACGGATACACGGAGACCGATTGAGGCACAGTTGATGTGAGATACGGAAGCTGCATGCTCATGTCATGCATGGCTACATACTCATGCAAAAGCTAGTAGACAGAGTGCTTCTAACTCACTAAGCATCCTCGGTCTCTCCGATCTTATAATGGTACCCATCATAGCGAATGGAGGCCAATACATACCAACCGAGCATAGTCTGTTCAGGCGACGTAGCGAACAGATCAAGATAGGATCACACTTCGATGAAGTTGCCGACAAATAACCACGATCCAGCCAAGAACTCTGGCTACGACCTCTCCAGGATCTACTTTACCGGACGTCTTCCATCTCTATACCCGCATTCCGACAGACATACAACGGGATGCACCAACATTCGTGTACCGGAATGTCTCGCACCAAGTCAGGCGCTCTTCATTTCCTCAAAGTGAAATGCTTGAGCGAAGATGATGTTCTCATATCATCTACATCTAGTCTGTGACGAGGTGGTGGCACGATGATTCCGACCTTGCTGCTTCCCTTTCTGTAGCTCCGCCCGATAACAGTGTCCTCCGACATACTCCCAAGATTGGTTACTATGGGGGTAAAATCCTCGGTCGCTCGACGCATACAGGGTATACATCTTCCCGCCCAGGTTGAACTCCCACTGCATTCGGAAGGAGGTACACCTTTCCTGAGTGATGTCCCGACCCTCTTAATAAACTACAAGGTTTACGATCCGCCACATCGCTGGTGGCTATGATACTCAGGCCGACCTACATCCGGATGGCATGTACTGGGGTCAGAAAGTTCGGGGAACATGTGTAGTAGAGTAATCGTCTCAGCTGCGGCTACAGAGATTTACCAATCGGGGATAGACTATGAACCACCGGAGTCAACCTTGGTAAATTGACCAATTCAACGAGCATAGGTCACGCAGTAAGTCGTAATACATCGAGGTGTCATGACAACTGATAATCTCAAATGAGCAGCATTCGAACATCACCCGAATTGTAGAGCAATAATCCACTGTTCTACGCAGATGAACGAAGGAGATGATAATCGCTTACCTTCCAATGAACGAATTATATGTCGGACCGATCGAGAGAATTGGCCGTGATAAGGTCAGTGTATAACGTAGTACTCGCTTACACGAGGAATGAAATCAAAATTGTCCACCGTTCGAGCAATTCCCATGAGGGTGCAACTGCCCGATGATATGGACTTCAATGACTTAGAGTTGCCGATCATCCGGAACATCTCTGCGCGGAGGTCGGTGACTATGGGTAGGCTGTCGGGGTGGTAGACCAACATCTAACCTGTACAACGAGCCTTCACCAAAACGCCCATTCCCTCGACTGGACAGAGGACGCCGGGACGGCATGATCGAGGGATCCCTGGAGCAAACATCAGGAATCAAAGGCGAGCTGTAGAGCAGCCTACCCAACAGCTGGCCTAGAGCGAGGTTGGCCGAAGGATGTGATGTCCATCGAATCCTGCAACGGCGGGCCTCAACAGTGAGAGCAGCCCTAACTTAACAGTAACCTACTTCAACCTCCTTGATCTCGTTGTAGACATCTGGCCGGTGGCTCTCCGCGACTGTAGAAGCGGCGCCGCCAGAAGAGTCGCTTGAGACGGCGGCGGCATGCAGATGGTGGCGAACATCAAGTCTGCCACCATGTCTCGAGAGCAACCTCGTATTCTTTAGTCGTAACCGGGAAGAGAGATTGAAGTTCATCTTGGGCACTTTCGGAAGGGGTCTGAGCGCAGCGAGTGACTCGAGCTTATTGGAATAGGTCAGTGACCTCACCTCAGGATGAAGAGCTTGCCAGGGTGTCGAGGGACTGCACTCAATACCTCCGGAGACACCGGGTGGGCCATGATGTCTGCCACCAAATCGGTGAATCTGTCGCGATGGATCAGTTCATTCTAATCAATACGTTCGACTCACCGCTTTAGAGTGATATTCATATCCCAATTGAGGACCTTGAGAATACCCATCTGAAGTCGGAGATACTCACTTCTGGTGTGCGCATTCGAGCTATACTGTCCCATAATATGAACCTAACACATAGGAGTCGACATGGACATGGTAACTATTAATACTCCCACCGGATGTACGAAGTTATCCTCCCACATCTTCTCAGCCAGTAGCATGCAGCAAACCCATAATGATCTCCATGAGGTGTGGTGCAAATGGACCTGTATCCACCAACATAATATAACCAATACACTATACTAAGGCAGGACTACCAAACCCTTATCAATCAAGCGGATGAAATAGTCCAGACCGGCTACAACGGTGGCGACAGAGAAGCAGCACCGTTGAGTCATCTTTAAAACAAATGCCGCATCACTGTGGAAGGGCGGTACTCGAGGATTGCCTAAAACCATAGCAATAAGCCAAAACAACAAGTCGCAGACAGCATACCGGCAACTTCTTCGGCCTTAGTTACTGCAAACCTGCATTCGAACGGATTGTTCGCCAGCTGCTCATCACTGGTCTTAGCCAAGTGGACCAAGGATACCCTGGGTAAACTTGGATGAAGGGCAGAATAGCAGTCAGACAGTCCTGCCTACAGCTTCTGAGTGTAGCGCAGCATAAATGCCCTCTCAACGCCTTCAGAGGCATCCGAGAAAAGTGAGGAATTGAACTCAGGGAGTAGCTCAGCATAGCGGGTTACATCGTAAATGGGCAGAAAGTCTGAGGGGCAAGCCGCAGTGATCGAAGACCATCGTTGACGCCAACTTACTCGGCTGACCATTCTGCACGAACCGGTCCGGTGGTCTCGCAGCTGCAGCGGCTACCGGGGTGTTGATCTCCGAGGACTCAGTAGGCGACCCTGAACTGTCCGTAGTAGCTCGCCGCAGCCCACGCTGGATCCCATGGTATGAACGGCAGAAGAGGTTGAACATTGAGGTGTTCAACAACACTGTGCAAATACGATTCATTAAGAGGTTCAATTTGAGAGTGCCTTCAGAAGAATGATGCGCCGTTATTGCATATTGCCCGAAACGGATTTTCCAATGAATCGCGCACGCCCCAGAGGCGAGCTGTACCGCACGGGATGACTTAGAGGCGAACTAGAAGAAACCAGTAGTGGTCTCGACGTAGATGTAGTTTCAAGTGGTGCAGTCGCGTTGTTAGACAGTGGTGAAGGAGGGGTTGAAGCTATAGAATCATGAGATAACATTGGGCGATTACGAGTAGATAATTTCGTTCCTGATGTAAGGAGCGTCCCGTGCAGCTTCTGTAACCAGTCAACGTTGCGATCACTGCAACCACGTACGTCCACGAGTGCGCAACAATCGAGAATTCGCAGAACAATAAATAGGAGTCTTTCAAACATGAACATATCAATCAAGTAGTTTTTGGAGACCAGCTCTGTCCATTGAACACGCTGACACCGCCAATAAGCGCCACTGTTCTCAAACCGTGCTCTCTCTTCTCGCCCTCTGTTCCTTTCAAATACCTAACAACATAGATGAGGGCAACAAGGACGCCAAATGACATGTGTTTCCACGAGATGCTAGTGTAGCTCATCATCAGCTTGGTCCAATAATATCCACATCATCGAGCTCTCCTGGGATACTGACAGCTGGTGAAGTGGCCATAACATCAATTGCTTACATCTAGTAGATGTCATCTACTATAGATACAAGAGTGAGACCATATGCACTAACACGGAATCTTGGATAGACTGGAGACCACAAACACGCAGATACTTCTGCTAGAGAGAGGGTACACGGTGGTGATAGGCTACTCAAGACGAAAGTTATTCATAGGATACTGATGAAAGGCAGGCACAATGCTGAGATGTGCAGTAGAGAGACGGTGATGGGCAATGGTGACAGCACGGGTAATGCAGCTGTTATTGGGGACGATAATAGGATAGTGAATTAATTACTATATTGGCAGTTTCAGTAAGGTTAACATCATCATGAGAACAGTCACGTAACACTACTAACATTGCTAGACGAGGAGTTCTCCTTCTCATCCTCGACGGTAGAGGACTTGGGCATCTTAGACCGCAACCCATCGACCTCCTCCGACCCGGTCACTGCCTCACTAGCCTGCTCACGGCTACGTTTAGAGGGATGTCCAGCAGGGTGGTTCTTGGAGGGCTCACTGACTCCTGCAGCCGCGTCAGCTGTCGGATGATGACACAGCACCAGTTTAGACTTGGGTAGACGTCCTGAGTATCATACACATTACTACCGGCAGGAGAATCTCTATAACTCACTTTTCCGTGTAACGGATGGCCCAGACTTAGATCTCGCCGCAGTGCTAATGCCCGCTGACTGGAGAGCTAATGGTGCAATCGGGCTTGTATCGGTCTCCCGCCTCCTGGTACGATGGTGGGGTGGATCCTGAGGTAGGTATTCGTGAGTTATATTCACATCAAAACGGCTCTACCTTAATGATAGTCGTCGTGGCGTAGAGAGTATGCTGAGACGGAGATGGGCTGTTTATAACGGCTTCTGGTACAGGTTCCACAAAGCTAGGTAGGAGGGATAGTGTATCCTGAGTACTGTGGACGGCAGGATCCTCCATATCCAATACCCATATGTCTAACAGTAAAGATAATAGCTGGGGTCAATAGGATAAGGAGAAGGAGTAGTACTCTCATAGCCAGGGCATGGCGAACCATCAAGGCCGGAGTACGCTTTCAATGTGATGTATCTGATTACGATAGTCCGACAATTTTCCTCTTTTTCTTCCTGCTGTTGCTGTTGCTATTACTACCCAACCTTTTTGTCTTCATACCTGGTCTCATACGAGACCTGTCTCTTGAGTATCTGCTTGGGGAAGTCCTCACCCCCATGACGGGCCTTCTCAGCCTCATACTCTCTAATGGCACGCTCGTACCTGAGTGACTTACCTACTATACCTCTGACTACTAGGGTAAGCATTACGCATCCTCACTGAGGTTGGCCATCCTCTTGGGGCCTCTCTCACCACTATCAATCATAACCTGAGTAGTCTGCCTAGTTGCCGGTCCCTCACCCAGGCCTACTGTCTCTTCAGAGGACTCCATCTTGCTTCTGTCCTCAGAGGAGTCTCCTTGGGGTAAGAGGCGTTCCTCTTCTAACGAGGGGAATTTCCTAAAGTTCATAGGAATTTAGATAGCACTGCTGTTACAAAGAGCTCTGCCTACTTCACGAGCTCTGCAGGTGTCTTCTTGTCCAGTCCTGATATATTACCTACCTTACGCCATCTCCTCACCCATCGTGTCTGATCCTTGTTGAGATAAGTGATCTCGCTGATATAAGCAGCCTAAGGATGATAATAATAACTGTGCAACCACTGCACGAGGCCTCACCTTAGCTGCCTCCTTGCTCCCACAGGTCACCTCGGGGAGCTGGCATATCTCCTCCCATGACCGTAATACTCGGACCTTATGCCTGATGGAGTATAGCAGTAAACATGACGATATCATCTAGCAGTGGCATGTCCTTACTGAACCCTCTTAGTACTGAGCCCCTCCACGACAGTTGGGCCCCAGAGCCTCGAGATGGCCCCTTGTACACAGCGGAAGACCTGACTGGCATATGACCGTCACATTAGGCCCTCATCATGGCATAGACCTCCTCGACTTTATCGTCAAAGTTTTCCTTAGTATCCACAACAAACACATTCTGACCAGTGTGGGTGACGAAATCCCTGCCGAGCTTATCTGCCTCTGCTGCCTAAACAGTAATCTCTAGCCTTTCTTTAATAGCCCCCCTGCAAGTATACTGACCTGAGAGGGTGTGTGAAAGCGTGATTCATTCGTGCTACCAGCACCATAAGAGTAACTAACGAGAAGCACAAGCTCTAGTGTTGTGGCAAGGAGGATGTGATCTATGCTTACAACTGAGGACGATCGACTGCAGCTGATGTCATGTGTATGACAACATCGTATCTAAGATGGACTATGAGCATCACCATCCTGGACTGGTACTATCCATACCTATCGAAGAGTTCCTTATCCGTATAGATATTGTTAGAGTTCCGAACTTTCTCCCACTCCTCATCAGTACAAAATGTCCTACCATCAAAGGCACCTAAGAGGATTCCTACGGGCCTAGCGATACTACTACTACGTCTACCTCGGTCAAGTATGATAACCCTATCATCCTCTCGTAGACGACATAAAGAGGTTATATTATCCTCCTGCTCTATCTGGGCCCTAGATATGTCGAACTACCTTCAGATAGGATAGTTTGTCTCCTACTACTTCAGCATTATCCTTTGAAATTCAATATGTTTCCAAGTATGCCTCCAAGAAGGCTCATAGCCACCCATCTTGTCTATCAAGGGTGTGGCATTCTCTCCTATCAACGTTACCTGCCCTCCACATCCTTTCACTGGAGTATCCCTGGCCTCATCACCTGCAAGCCTCTATGCACGAGTCGGTTCCTGAGCTTGGTGAGAGCCGTAGACTTGCCGCCACCAGGCCCTCCGGTAAGGACTATTTTACACAACCTTCCCCCAATAGTCGAGGCTGCTGCTGTCGTCGAAGTAAGAGCGGCGGCTGCCCCAGCAGTAACACTGTTCATATCAGACGAGTTACTGATCGTTGGTATGATGAAGAGGGTTATGGAACCAGAAGACAAACTGATGACTAGATCAATATCAACCGAGTAGCGCTTATCCATTATCGTTGCGACAGTGTACTCCACATCGTACTGCAAGGGCTACAAGTGTTCCCTACTAGGAGAGCCCCAGTAGAGGCTGTGAGGCTGCTGCCTTACTACAGCCTTACTTACTACTATACTAGCGGGCGTGCCATATTGAAATTAACACCCTGTATATACTGAATATACACCAGTTAGGGTATCTATCCAAGCTCATCATGTTTAGTGTTGACTGAACACTGTACGTCACATGGACCAGGAAACCCAGTGCGTAATATAACGTATACGCGACGATAGAGTAGTATCATAAGCAACAGTAACTATGATGATAACAGTGGTAGAAGATACAAAGCAATAATGACGATAGTTATCATCACTTGTGCAAGTCAATGGTCGTACTAGCGGCCTCCATAGACTTGTAAAGTTCTTATGACTCGAGAGTTGTTTCATCAGAATCTGCCCATGGCCTTATCAGCTGCATTAGCCTTCTTCCTCTTGCCTCCCTTGCTGCCCCCACTACCACCACCTCCCCCGGAAGGTCCTCCCTTCTTTACAAGCAGCTTAAGACCACACTTGCTACAAGTGTCGCTCTGAGGCTCATTATGCTGCTCACAGTGGGGGCACTTCCAGCCTGGAAGCTCCGGCTCATGGGACTGCTTGGGGGCATTCTTGGTAGGTCGGACGAGCAAAGGGTATCTGCCTATGACGGTGAGAGGTATTGTAGCTATACGCAAAAACTCCACCTTCTCTCGAGGCCTTTCATCCTTTCTATGTCCTTCCTAGCCTTACCACCAGCGTTCCATTGCGATGACCTATCAGTGATGGAGCATGACCAGTAATACCAATATGTATGTTACTTAGGCTTTGGTTGTATCTTAGGCAGCTCAGGGAAGGCCTCAGGATCCGCCAATCGGGCTGGATTCCGAGTAGCCCAGAGACCCTGCTGTCTAGTGTTGGAAGATGATGATGATGAACTACTAGATGTGATGGCATGGGCAGCGGACTGATAATAGAGTCGATGACTAAGAGGTGATGCCCCTACTGCTACTACCAGTGTAGGGTAGTTTCCTCCTCCTCCTCCCTTGGTCCGAGGTTGCTGTCCATTGTAGGTGGTACGAACTATAGGCTTAGTGCCAGGTAATAGGGGGAACTCCTGGTAGGAGTATCGATCATCGACCCCCCTTTCAATACCTCTACTCTGTAGTCTACCTGCCGCTAGATGAATGTATCTATCAACATGGATACATCAGGGCTCAGCAGCAGTACGATGAGTAGGATGCTTACGTAGACATATAGCAGAGTTCCAGCATGCTGAATCGCTCATGGAGGACCCTCCTTGCCTGCTGTACAAACTCATCCCAGCCCTTCTGCAGTTCAGCTGCTGATGCTGTAGCAGCCTCCTCTGCCTCCCTACGGCGGCTAGGATCCCGATACTCATATTCCTCCTCCACCTCCTCATCACTACTCGTCGGCACAGTGGGCCGAGGAGTGAGTAAACGGTATGCTAGGGGACGCAGACCAATAACCTGACGTTAGTGGTGATGCCCTCAGTACCTCCGATAACGACGACGACTAAGACCTTGCTACTACCATTTCGGCATTGGCCCAGGATAGGTCCTTTCTAGAACCAACCACAGCTAGCAACTGATTCCTCATCTCTGCGAGAGTGTCCGTCTGTATACCATCGATCTGCTGCACACTCTGCACCAATTTACTAAACGGATAAATACTACGCCGTCGATGATAAGGAGGAGTAGCCTACGTGTATTGTTTGGGAGGTATGACCTCGTCCACTTCGCCGAGATCAGCATCTAACACTGCCATCAGTGCTTTAATAAAGCTTGGTCGTTTATGAGGGCCGGCAAGTAGACCATCAGGGATGGGCACCGGAGTGTCAGGTAACTGATACAAACTACCATCTACCACTCTTACAAGATGCTCTGGTCTACACGATACGAGGATGTATCAAAAGAGTGGTATGCCTTACTTTCACTGTAGGAGGCTGAGATGAGCCCCTGCTAGTCACACTAGCCGTGCTACGGGGTTGTGGAGATATACTCCGGGCCTGTCGCTCGTGTTCCAACCTAGTGGATTCTAGTATAGCATCACCACCATACACTTGCATACGCTCAACCTAGCCAGAAGCCAGGGTCGATGATAGCAGTGTACACTAATCCCTACGAGCCTATCTCTTAGACCCTTGATCGGTAATAGAAGTACCATTGCTGCACACAGCTGGGCTCCCTTCTGCATGCCACCCTCAGCTAGGCTGAATACCTAATGAGCAACAATTGGTATCCTCTGCTTGTCCAGTAGTAATGGTCACCTCAGCCGCTGTCTCTACGAAGTAATCTAAGGCCTCGTCGCTCTGCTCTTTCCGCATTTCCATGGCCGCATCCTTAAGATGGTGTAAGTTGATATCACCTAAGCCGCGGGAGCAGGATCGCATACACGTTGCCGAGTCTCATTGACGACCTACCAAGAGCCGCCCTACATGCCTTCATCAACTCTGCGTTCTTATTCTTGAATAGAACGCCATTGACTCGGCCCAACCCATCTGGATCGGTTTCTATCATCCTCACTGCCTATGGAGGGACACTAAAGATGTCGCAACACACGTATTGCCGTCACCTCGAGAATCAGGACCCTCCTCCCACGTTCCATAAGGTCATCTTCCTCCTCATCCTCATCAGCTACCGCGGGCCCCTCTGGCCTCTGACAGATGGAATATCCACGTTTCCCACAAGGTGGTGATCTCCTTACAGGATCAGAGATTATGCCACCAGTAGCAGCATTAGGTAAGGCAGTGTTGTCCGCATCGATGATGGAGCATGTCCGAGGCTTGGGCAAAGAGGGTTCAGGGATCTCCCCATGCCAGTTGGGGTCATACCTCGTCACAACGGTAATATGCCTCTCGTAACGCTATTATGAATTACCTATGGCCGTCCTTTCGAGAGGGATATCGCTTCTTGATCCTCTTAGGATCAGATGCCTCATTCTGGTCATCTTCCTCATCAGAAGTCACAGCATTGAGAGCAGCATACTCCTGACCCAAGGCAGTGCTCTCATCGGGACCATTGTAGAACTGTCTTGGGGGCTTGCAGAATTTAACCTTACCAACCACAGGCCATCGAAAGAAGGAAGAAGGATAAGCAAAAGCATACTAGTACATTGTAGTTCTCAGCGGTATCCGGATTGGGATTGTCATCCCGCTGACCAGGCTTGCGGGATCTCCCACCACTGGTACCGAGGTCTAACCGTAGGTTGGCCCTCTTCTCAGCTCGGGACATCACTGATGGAGACCAGTATCATAACTCTTATAGGGCAGATAGCGTAGTACCTCCGAAATTGGTATGCTCGGTGACCTCATGTATCTTGAGGTCATCGTCTGTCTTGAATACCACAAACCTCTTAGCTAGACAATCATTATGTTCACAGGGGTAATGGGCGGCCGAGAAATGAGCATATCTAAAGAAAGGATAGTTAAGCAGCAGAGACCACCACCACCAAGTCCTTGGTAGTATTACAATGCGAAGTAATCCTTGTAATACTCATTACGCCATCCCATGCTCTCACAAAGATGACAGGTGAAATGATTCTTCCTCATATGGGTCTTAAGCTGATCAGCCGAGTAGAAACGGTGATCATTCCTCCCTGAGGGGTTGCAGAAGTCACAGGAAGGATGATTGTCCACGGGTGGTCTTAGATCAGGATCTCCGTGACGACAGTGACGATCGATATCAGCTCCATGGTTGAGCCTAACCACATGATGCACTACTGGTTCCACTGTGATGGGAGGCAACCTACGTGGTGTATAGATATTGCTCTAGTATGAAGACATCTCTCTCATTGAGGCATATTGTACAGAAGTCTCGGGAATGTTGCTTCCGAAGATGTGTACGAAGATCTCCTAGAGTATGGAATGCCTGAGGGACCTCATATACCTTTGACCGAAAACCACCATGCTATTACCCATTTATCCTCTCTCTCAGCCTCAGTAGATTCATCACCATCCCAGTTGGTACAGAACCCACAGCGATACCTGACCAACAGCGATCCTCAACCTTCACTGCGTATACTGCAAGACTTACTGTCTTATCATGTGGCATATTTTCTGAATCCTTTTGTCACTATAGTAGATATCGGCTTGTTCCTTATCCCTGATAACTAACCTCTTCTTAGATGCAATAAGGTCATCGATTGAAAGGATAGGATCGTATTGATCTCGGTGTACCAATACTAGAGTGTCGAGTTCTTCCTTGCACATAGGGCAGGAACGGTCATTCAACAACCATCGAAGGCGCAATGCACACAGCCAACATATGCTGTGATGACCACAATGTCCAACTGCTACATAGATCTGCATTAGAATGAGAGGACTACAGATAGAGGATGTATTACTAGCTTCTCCATGCATAATGAGCATTCCTCATCTATCTTATCGATACTGTCGGCCTTGATAGGTTCGTGTAGGACTAGACTGCCGGCGAAGGATAGTGGTGGGGGCATATCGATCTAATAAGAGTATGTACCAATACAACAGGTCACTCAATTCTACCTTCTGTGTTCCGCCGCCCTTCTTCCTACTAGACTCCCCCCTATCATAATCAGGATCATATCGGTCCCTATCATCTCGGCCTTTACCCTTGCCCTTACCACCATAGCGTCCCTTGCCATGGTAGGCCCGATGATGAGTCTGATGATGATCCTCCCCCTCCTGCCCCCTTCTCTCCCCTTTGCCGTGATAGGCTCGACGTCTCGGTGCCTCATCATCTACTGGGTATGAGCGTTCCGCCGCCGACTCTTCTCTACGATCACCAACATGGTTATCATCATCATTATCGTGGTCATGTTGGTCCTCACCACCATGGTGTCCCCGACCCTTACCACGACCCTTCCCTTTACCATGGTAGGCTCTTACTCTGGTGGACTGGTCAGAATACATGATGAGCAAAGACACTCACAATATGGCTATATTAATGCAAACTAGGATGAAGACCATCAACCATCCTGAGAACTACGTGAACACAAGGCGATACTGGACCTATGGAAATCTGTACAGATCATACTAGGTAAGACCAACATCACTACTACCGACACGGGTAACAAACCTAGGACAGATGCACTCAGCTACTCAATCTTCCATCAGTAGAGAGCATGGTGAGTCAAGGTGACGAGGATCTCTCATAACACACTCTCGACAATACCTACCGCTGACTATGTAGAGAGGTAGCAAGTGTGCCATGGCTTGCCCCCACTGTTTGGTGACTGAATGTACCCTTATGTAAACTACGCTCTACATAGGATTATGGCCAAGTAGGGGCAACGGTACTTCCAAGCCACATAAACAGTATAGAAGGGTACAACTAATACAAATCCCTCCACGGTTGTTATACCCCACTACATGAACGCCCCTTGGGTCTGTTAGCTACAGTCGTACAACTCTAGATTGGGTATAACGTGCGGGAAAATATAGTCTGAATATCATACAGCATCGATATGATCCCTCGGATGACCCTCACACACTGACTCAATGAACTTTGTCTATACAGTAGATTACATGCCGTGGGTCATTACAACTGCTATAATGATGGAGGGATTCACAACATACTGGGCGCGCGCTTTTTACGGCGTAACATTACTTGACACACACACTGAGTATATCCCTTTATGTTCACAGGTTCCTCGTACACACACACGTACCGTTCCACAGTAACTCCCCAGCTCAAGGGGCATTACCGTGTTTGTCTTTCACCGTCATTGTCAACTACTCGACTACATGAAAAGCGCAGAAACTTGAGAAAAATGTAAGTTGATGATTATCAAGGTGCAAATGATTCTCCTCGAGATCGTATAGAGTTCATCGCGGCCACCGCCGTGTCTTTTATACCCCAGGATGGATCCACTGCTATCGATTTCACATTTACAGTGAACAGAGGCTTCATCCTCTTCCCTGAGACCACAATAAATACTCATCACTTCACAAGCAGATGATGAACTTACGTGTAGCATGTAGATCCTCTTTGGATATGAGTGGAGGCACCCAAAGCAGCGATCGGTATTTGCTTGCGTTGGTTAGATGTTCGAATTCGCATCGAATGATAAACCACTGGGCTCGTCTAGTATACAAGTTAACATAATGAACAATGATGTTGATAATAATGATCACCTCATAATCTCCATACCAGCAACAACAGTTCTCAAGATCTGTGATCCAACTGCTGATTTCAATACTGTATGGGCTGGCATTAGAGTTAAAGCCCAAGTTACTCGACCTATCAGATTGGTGAATGCAGCAGCACCATACATCCATCGTGGTAACATATGTTCTCTCGATAAGAATGTCCCTGAGTACATAAGTAATTGATACCTTACATGATAATGGTGATGTTACCAGTGTGATCAGTAGTAGAGAAGCTAACTATACCCCAATCCATACCAACATCCCAACAATACATATACATAGATGATAGGCAATAAACAAATACCTGATCATCATCATCACAACAACAATACAACATAGTAACCTCCGATAGAATACTCACCCAGACTAGACGTTCGGTATAAACAGAGAAGAAAGGGAAATCACTTAGTGGCAGAGCGGTGACAACAACCATGATGTTACCGCATGAATACCTAATTGTAAAGACCTCGATGACTACCTGACACCCCTTCACCTTACTTCCCGAAATTCCATAAGTGTCGGGTCTCCCCAGTTTCCCACCATCGATTGAGACATTGCATCATTCGGAACCAATATCTGAATAAATACCTGAGCCGCAGTGGGTAACAGTGCGGTTATTACGGTAGGAAAGCAATCAATGGTATAAGGATGGGATGATTCTCCGTTTTAGAACGAGCTATGTCCATGGGTGATGAGAAGAAAAAGAAAGCGATGGCTAAATCCTGAATTGACAACGATCGTCCGAGGTATAACCTCCATTGATATACAATCACCTGTAGTGGTTTAACCGCACTAGTGAGAACATCACCCGTAATGTTATCGGCAAAGGTAACCGAACCTCCGAAAGGAGCCTTCACTGTCCTCCATAGTGACATCACTATACCCTTACGATACCGCAAACGAAATATCTGATACACGACCTCGATACTGGACCGCCGCCGCCTTTGCTGAGGCGTATCGTTATTACGTCATGCGGCCAAAGCATTGATACAAGCCAGAAAAAGAGCAGTACAGCCGGATATACTACATAGTATCCATGGTAACCAAATATAGCAAATTTATAATCAACAACGTACCTACATAGACGTGGGTTAGGCAGAGGTAGAGAGGGAAGGCTTACAATCCAAAGAACAGGATAAACAGACTTGTGTGTAACGCGGCGATGTTGAATAAAGTATCCGATCTAACTTCGATATTGGGATCACAGTCCAGTAGGAATAGGTAATTAACAGAATAGGTCTCCAAAATACTGAAATAGATATCAGATTTGGGATGATATCGACGAGAGCTAGTAATACCTCATAGCCCAACCGGCACTCCACAGTGCTAATGAAGACATGAACACGAACCTAAGATGATATTGGGATTCTAATCATGGGAGGGTGATACTACCTAAATGTAGTTAGACTGGCAAAGAAAGCCTCTTCATCAAAGTTAGGGTTAGTGTGTGGTATACATATGAGTACAACTAGGTCTATCATCAACATCACCGATACTCCAATATAGAAGCCTCGTAACCTGATAGTAGGGCATAATGATAGGATGGGATAGCTTAGTTATTACACTTTCGAATGGCCACCACCCATATGCTCACGAAAGTACCGCAACCTCTTGAGGAATTGTTGATCAGCCTCGCTAGGATTAGTACACGGCAACAGATGCTTCAGACGGCTATCCAACTGGAGACGGCAATAATGATAGTACTACACCCTTTACAAATTTAATTACAGCATCCAAACGTCCAAGATCATAGAAAGGCTGCGAGGAAACCTCCGGCATAAGCACTTGAGAGAGGCCTATTCGAGTAACCTTATCGTGCTTCTTGAGTATCTACTACCCAAACTGTCGGAGTTATGCAACCTAGTGCTTAATAGTACTACTACCTTTGCTACAGCCAAATGATTGAGTCTAGAGTATGACCTTAGTAAGTCTATCCTTTCGGTTAAATTCGCTATAGTGTTCTCTGCCCGCATCATCATTTGGGCTAAGAAGGGAATGTAATGTGCTGCTTATAAGGATGGGCAATTGTACGCATGTACAACCACATGAGTTGATAGATGACACCATACCTTACTACCATTCCGAGTCTCCTCAGGACTTCTATGACGCCTCTCTCGTATGAGGGGGGCTTGTAGGTTACCCTCTTCATAGGGAGTATACGGGTACTCTATCTGTCTGCCATTATGGTTGTTGTTCTGCTCTTCTTGGGCGTAAACAGGTGATTGGCCAGGATGAGCAGGATGGTAGTACTGAGGGTCCGTGGTTATACCAATACTAGACTCACTGCTCGACGATGACTCTATCGAGTGACTGAGGACATTTACCATGACTACCAGACGGTATCTAGATCCTTTCCCTTCTTACACCAATTTCTCTGTCTCAATTACTTGTGACTCTAAGTCGTGGTATTGTAACCTGAATATTATATGACAGATGACTGTGATGGAGGAATGCTGCATAGTACTTACTCGAAGAATATGTTAACCTTCCGTATTTGTAGTTCTAATAGCTGATACCATTCATCCAACGATGTCTCGCTATTCACGAAGGAGGATGGCGATATGCCTAGTATCTGATAATGCGTAAGCATCGATGATGATACACCAGTATAGACACTATAGTATAAGAGAGTTTAACTGAGTAGTACTTGATGGGGCTGTGGAGGCAGGCCCGGGACGGCTCCCATACTATACTCCCTTGATCTCCGCATCATATCCTCGAGTGATGGTGATGGTGCATGGGCACTGCTTACTCTACGACTCCTATGTACCTGATATACCTCCTACAACCATTATAGTGTTCATCATCCCTACACTCCTTGCCAATGCCTTCTTGAGTCGGCGATAGTCTATGTAGTTATCAGCCCATTCTGCAATAGCGTAACGTCTTAGCTGCTTCTCAAACTTCATTGTATACTAGTAGTCGATAGAGACAGTGATGACGTTGATGATGAGGAAATAATACAAGATCAAGACTTCCCCTAGTAGGAGCCAGAAAGAAGGAGGAGGAGAAGAAGAAGAAAGGGTGTGGTTAAAAACTACTGTGTTGTTAAGTATAATCTTCGGCTCTATTATCCCCAGCGCAAAGCCATTATCGCAACCACACGGAAAAGTAAGGTAAGTGATGGTTCAAATTACAACAAAAGTGTAACTGCGGAATGGTTATTCAAAAATCGAGAACACTGCTGTCGCTCTACCCGAATGTAAGGAGTAGAATCCCACCATAGAAGTCAGCTAAGGCTATTCTGATCTGTTGTCTTTATTGGACATAAAACGCTTGACAAACCTGAAGATATGATTATACAGTAGTATGTGCGGAGATCACTCGATATGGATGGCTACTGTGGATAGTTGAGGAATATCACAATGGATGGTACTATAACAGCGGCTATGATGAAGTTCTTAGCAAGGGCTTGCATCCAGTTGCCACGAACTCCATGACGCTGCATCTTATTCGATCTAGATATGCTACCAACGATCTCAGGGTGGTAGTATCGTGCCTGATGAAGGGATCATAATAGGCGGATAATAGAACGAATCCTACATGTACAGCAATTCCATGCAGTACAACAGCTGACCTTGCAGCGGCCTTCACCACTTGTTTGGTCGCTAGGTCACGCCATTTCGCATGGACTTCATCATCTATCTGGTACCTATAGACTTCACCATTATGCATCAAGAATAGGGCTCATTCTTAGACATTACGTTCTAGGCACCTCTCGTCCTCTACCACCAGCAATCACAGAATAGATATCACTACACGACATCTCCATGGATTCTGCTATCCACTCAGCTATACCTATAATGACAACAGCCTTCGAAAGCAGTACAGCATGCCCACGAGTAATACCTTTGCTGTAGATCTTCTTCACTAGCTGTATGCCATACCCACCGTTTAGGACTAGCTTATCCAACTCAGTGTTATATGCATCCAGAACAAGTTGCGTATCAAGGTTAACAGCCGAGGAGATCTAGCAGCAGTAAGCACGACAAAGTATAGTCAGTCTACCCATTATCGTATATTACATCACGCTCCCAGAAGTCATACAAATTGGTGCTAGGATCATCATGATACTGTACGCTGATCCTGCGGCCATGATCATCAGCTCCGAAGCCAGTATGAAGAGGTTGATGCAGATCCTGCACTAGACCTGTGATGATGAATCAGTTGTCTAAAGCGGTCACTCCTACCACCCGAACACTACCTAGAAGCCAGCTAATCTGTACGGGCTCAGTCATATCCTTAGCGATACCATGGTCTTCACCAGATTTACTCTCATGTGTCACTCTTCCGAAGATGTCATGTATCTAAACGGCTAGCATAGGAGTGGCAGTGAACGTGGTGGAACTATCATTACCGACTGATAAAGGCCATGAGACTCAGAATCCCTATCTGGATTGTTGACATCGAAAGTACATTTCCAATCTCTACATTGGAGTGGGTATCATCACATCGCACAGTAATGTTATCACCTCAGTTGCGTCTCATAATGGTTGTCAACAGTCTTATCATAGTTAGCATACTGTAGTTTATCGTGAGCATATCGTGACATGTAGGCAATAGATTGGCCCTTAAGGAGCTTGTTAAGATCCTCTCTGAGAATAACAGCTTACTACTACTACCACCATACAGGCTACTCTCTTACATATCCCTGTAACTGAGTACCCGTGATACAGCCTCTCCAATATGCTCATGTATATCCTTATCCCAAGCATAAGCACTATGGGGTACTACTGTGATAATAGTAATACACCAGAGGCATATGCTGAGCATCTTGGCTCTACTAGATGGACAAAACATTCAATTTAACTCTAATGATAAAGATAATATAAAGCGGTCATTGCTATACTATGAAACATCGATCAAGTGTTTGTAAGAAACGTTCTCGTACGGTATAGGCCAGGTCGCCATTGACAAGGCTTTCTCAGCCGCTCTCACCCCACTTTTTTCAACCAGTTAATTATACAGTCACAATGGTAGACATGACAACATACAGGCTGCCCCAAGGGGCATCGGATGACTATCTATGGCTGATACAGTATTTACTCCTACATATCAGTCTATTCAATCCATTACACACAGACACTGCATACAGTTGTATTGTTGTCTAGTGTGCTAAAGTCTAGTGTCTTGAGTACTCTAGGGTGCACGGGATATATTCATTATCCCTATGACAAGGCATAGATGATGATGAGGGCATCTTCGAGTTCTCCACATGTACTCTCTCGTCTCTGTTGGAATATGGCCGACTAAAAGAATGATTCCGGAACGATACCCACGGTATCGTAATCCTTGAGAAGTATCTTTTATGAGCCTCCGAACACTCTAGACTGGGGTAGATCTCTGTATGGGGGTCGATGCTTAGATGGGTTCTCTCTAGCCATAGTACGACTGCAATTACTATGACGATAAGACAGTACACTGTTCCATCATAGATCTATGCCTCCTTGTCGTCGTTGTATTGAGTAATACATGCCTTTCCAGAGATACTCACGTGAGGGCATGAGAGCAACGTAGTCGAACAACGATGCCGCAGTGTCCACTGCGCGACAAACTTCGAGTTTCGTGGCGCGCGGTCAAATTCGTACGTGAAAGTGGTTCGCGTGAAGCATGCAGATGGCAGAGTAGGTATGATATGCTTGATGTCCCACCCTCAATCGCTTGCTCGCCCTTACATATCATTCCACCTGCATCACGAATACCAAGCATGCTTGGAGGGGCGTCGCACGACTGGGCTCTCGCCCATTATCATACCCTGACAGTTGATCCATTCAAGGCAACCTGAATGCTTTTCAACTTCCATTCCAAATCTTCCTCATGCAAACTCGATAGTAGTGGAACCACGTGGTCTAGGAAGATGGATGCCCCACGCGTGAGCGGCGACCTCAGTGCTTTGGGGGATAGACTCCCACACATCTTGCATTCCTCAGAGTCCTATATCGTCAGCATCATCCTTGTCGATATGTAGTGATGGAATCCTGCGGCGTAGTTCAGGTGATTGTGTGGATAGTGGCAGGATGGATAGACGAGGTATCCTCCTCATAGGCTCTTGCCTTCTATCATGCTAACAACAGGTCACTTAATACATGATGGGTCCAAATCGCACTCTATATCCTTTGCTGATGAGGTGGAAGGGGATAGTGGATCTTTGGAGAACGTTTTCATTGTGGAAAGTTTCAAGGTGAGCTCGGGTGTACTAGTGAAAACCGGACCCACCGCTATCAGTACAAGAAGCGCTCACTTTCGTGCAGTTTCTAGTCGTAATAGTATATTTTATCAGGCATACTATACCGAGGATGAGTTCCATTCTGGCAAAAGGCATCGTGGATGCTTCAGTTTACGAGGCATCTTCTAGTTTCCTTTTGCCCTATTATCGCCTAACTCACATAATGCTTGTCCTCAGCATCAATGATGCTTGCTGTGGACGGCGTGATGTGTGATGGAATGAAGCCAGTTGTATAGGTAAGATGTTTTCGTCACCACGTACCTTAGTTTCGCATGTAGTTGTAAATACCAAAGCAACTGTCGTGTATAACCACGGTGATGCACATCATCATTCTCTGTCGATCTGTATTGAGGCCTTCCTCTATCTCCGTGTTCAACTGTCTCTTATGCTTACATCTCCACTGTTGCCGTGACTTCCGCTACGACTTCTGTCCCATGCATGTTTGTGGTCCCGTATTTTGGAACTACGAGTTCTTCTCGCTGATACGAGTATGGAGATAGTCGTTGGATCGTCGGTATATCGTTGGAGGTGTGGCAATGTCTCTGGTGGTGTAGCAATGTTTGTTCGCTTGTCAAAGATTCTTATTCATCTTGCGGAGTGATCAGTGAGTGCTAGGAGGCGCCATCCGGTAATGCAGCACTGCTGCAGCAGCAGTTGTAGCAGAGTTTTGTATCAAGCTCACCTTGTTGCCTGAGGAAGGTAGGCTCCCCTTTTCCGTCACCAACGTCATGTGTGTCCAGCCCTGTGCTCCATCATGACTCAACCGCCGTTGATATAACTAATCTCAGCGCGGTATGCCTGATCTAGTGGATTTTGTATCGTTACTATCCCTAGTCCGAACATTGACCATCGTTCATTAAGGATGATAGATGATAACCTATCTACCGTAGTGGAAACCGTCTACTTACACAAGGAGGTGGTTCTGCAACAACTTTTCCATCATTCTCAACTTCTAATTGTTGTTACATGATAACTTCGAGGCGACAACTGCCCTTTTGTAGTGTCATTCTGTATCTCATTACTGGCTACTATGTCTTGGTCTTACCATTGTCAACATGCTTCCGTATCTTATCTTGATATGATTTCCCGAATCTGGAGGTAACTCGGCTTGCGATACTTGGTGATGTGGTATGTAGATAAATTGCTGCTCTTCTTACACGGGCTGGTTATTATTATCTTCATATCGGCTTCGCGATAGGCGAGCTGCGATGGTTCATGCCAAAGTATCATCATTATTGTCGCCGGCGTTAAGTAGGGTCTTATCGTCCATGAGTCTCCCATCAATCTACCGCATCATCTCATATCCTTACCGAGTAGTGTTTACTTCAATGAAGCACACTCCACATTCTTCCCCTTGAACATGTTGACAGATATCTTTAGTTCTGTTGTGAGAAGGTCCTTGTGATAGTGGTTAAACTGATCCATAGCAGGAGATTGGTGCTCCCGGATGATCATCGCTTATCTGTGCATCGAAGTCGCCCAATGTAGTGGTTGGGACTGCGCTAAAACTGATGCAGGCGGGTGTTTAATCCGATGATGCGAGAAAAGGGAGAAACTTCACGAATTAGTTCCCTGCATATTCAAACAATGGAGTGAATTTGGGAGTAAGGATGTCTTCAATGTGAAATGTGAATGACATAGCATCTTGGACTCAAAATCGATGACAGCTATAACTCAACAGATCACCTGATGAGCAGAAACAAGCTCTTGAAGCAGCCGCACACGATCGACACCGCCCCAGTGAGCAAGAAATATGATGATTAGTCGAATACTAGAGAACAGTACGAAGGAGAAGAAACATTATGAGAACAGATACACGTTACCTTATGGGTCTCGGCGTATTACAGTAATATCGGAAAAACTGAGATTGCGGGAGTTAGATGACATGCAAGAATCGACATAAGTAGCAATGACACATTGCTGCGATCATCATCGGAGGGTGTATTTCCCAAGAAGATCTGATCATCCGATGGGAAACTGTTGATAACGTCAGGCTCTCTCGTCACATTCTGCAGAATTTACCGAGATTCCATCATACTCGAGATCGAGCCATACCTGCACGAGAATGATGATGCTATTAGATTAGCAAGATGAGAGGAGAACTCACATCCCATATCCAAAGGTGAAAAGGGATAAAGCTATGATGAAGATCTCCCCAGCAAATTGCAAGAGTCGTCCCTGATAAATGCCCTTCACTCCTGCAACGTCAATAAGGCAGGCTTTCCAATAGAAGAGTAGAGGCAGGAGCATAACCTAGGCAGAAGACAAAGCAGAGTACATTCATAAACCACGATGAGGAACTTACATTGGGCATGCCGCATACGGATCCAAGCAATGATATCATGTCCGTAACACCAGGTATGACTGTGGCGAAGAACGCACATATCCCGACGAGACCTGTCCTGACGACGTAGGCTGTGAACCTTGGCGCCTTAGACGGAATAAGTTTCTCGCAGTCAATGGCGACTGGGCAGAAGAGTGCGAGGAAATGGGAAGCACAGAGGATAAGGATGCATATTATTATGGCATAACCCTGAGAATTGAGAGGAGATGATGTACCCGATATAGCTGTAACAATATCACCATACTGAGCGATAGAGTTGCCAAAACCACCATAACCTGCTACGGTAAGGCATATGTAAACTGAGAAGATAATAGCAAAAGCACCATAGAGGGATGTACCAACTCTATCGGGCTTCTCCATATTATTCATTACCGAGGGTATCATGGCAGTTAGACCAAATGATGTCATAAGGGTGCCAATAGCACTTCCGAGCTGATTGAAACTGAATAGAGAGTAGTCTATCGAGCCAATATACTCGACCAATCTGGAGAATCCTGCAATGACAATGACGATGACAGTAGCAAGGACAGAAAATACACCAATCATCGATAGCCAACTGATCATCTTCATAGACCGGATACATACGAATGGCAACATGAGACCAGCGTAGATAAGTATCCAATCAGTTTGGTTCATTACGGACCACATCCGCATTGTGTTATCAGCGAAAAGGACCAATAGGATAACACACAAACCGAGCATGAAAACATCAGTGCTTATGATGACAGCTGCACGACCCCATCCCCCATAGGTGAGTTCACCAAGTTGCTGGTAGGATGGATATTCACCGTTCTTAGAGTATCTCACGCATGCATCAGTCAAGTGCTTTGCCATCCATAATGATGCAAGTGCCGCGATGGCCAGAAGTATATAGCCGCCTATCCACCCAGCTTGCTCCATTACTTGAGGGAGACCGAGAATACCAACACCAATGGATGTCATAACCAGATTGGCTGTTGCACCGAAGATAGATAGTTTGTTAGATACCGCTGACCCACTGCCGAGCCCCATAGGAAACAAGGAAGGGAGTATAACAAAGACTGGTAGAGCATTGCCGAGAGAGTCTCGACTCTAATGTCGACGGGTGATCTGACTTCAGACCCACAGTATGGAAGGCTTACCCACAGCTATAACACAGCAATATCAGCAGCAGGAACACAGTGAAACTATCCGGTGGTCGTAGGGGGGGGACAGAAAGCACGCTACTCCGAGTCGCTATCGTCCTCAGAATCATCATCACTATCATCATCGTCGGATTGCTCCTCAATCTGTCCAATCAACTGCGCCATCAAGGGCAACTGTCGATATGTATCTGCAGAGGGACAGTGGGAGGAGATACTACTGGTCATAGGATACCTACCGGGGGCACGGCTCCACCATGCTAAGAGGTCCTCTTTGCTTAAGTAATCATTGGCGTACATCCCCTGAGATACAACAGTTGCCCTCAACAATGTCGTTGTCAATACTAATGATGAGAGTACCCATATAAAGAGACAGCACTCCTTCTCAAAGTCCTGACCATACTGTGGACAGGATGCACAGAGATTATCCAAAGCCTCTATCCACCATTTAGAGAGGCCTGTCTGATCCGTCAAGTAACTACACAATAACACATTTGGAGATGGTATAACAGCGTTAGCCCAACTCACAGCTCTTCCAAGGCATCATCCCAATACTCATAGAAGGACGCCACTACAGGCTGTTTTGGCTTACTACTATCACTAACAAGGACCTCACAGCACACCCGTGCAAGGGCCAATACAGTAGCTATCAATAGCTCTGATAGAGGGGCCTGGAGAGGACTAGATAGCACCTTCCTTATCCGTGTACCCTACCTACTACCTGCTCTGTTGTCCGGTATATCCTAAGCTGTTGACACACGTGTGATACATCTTGCTTCTCATACCATCCTTCTTTGAAGAAGGCATACACCTATGATAGGGGTGTGGTGGTAGTCCTGCATGATAATGGTACTGTCACCTCAGCCCTGAAACCCTTCTTGAATGCTTTGTCGGTCCCACATGATGAATTGGCTATATCCTCCTCCTCCTCCTCAGTGGGCTCTTCGGTGCTTATAGATCCCTCCCTTGATACTCTAGCGGCCTACAAACGACAATAATCTTATCAGTGATGTTGAGCCTCTGAAACAACACTATAATTTCTAAATCCCCAAGAGAACCGAGAGTACCTCTATTTTAGCAAGTGCCTGAGCTGTATCCGGCAATGGAGTCCCAATGGTGACACCATCTACTGGATGCGCCTTGTTCGATGCAATAATATTGCCATTTGGTGAGACTACTACACATTCTACGCTCGTCGATGGTGATACAGTCGATCGAGCATGGATGATGCACCTGTGTGGTACTATCACACGAAGATGATGTCGGTGATAACTAGCTACTTTCTGATGGATGCCCCTGCCCCTACAACGACATCCGGCCCTATTATGCTACTTTCCAGCTCTACTCCTGCTCCTATTGTAGCTACACGAGAGTCACTGGGCTCCACATCATACTATTCAACAACTCTCTACTACCTCCAGGGGCAATATAGCATTGGTGGAGCCTAGCTGATGGATCAACCCTGGCTCTCGTATCGATATAAGCTATCTCTCCATGAATCTAATGGGACGAGGTTAGTGGCCCATACAAAAGCATTTGCCATCACCTCAGCGAGACTGTTACCACCGTGTTCGCCAGCAGTGCATTTCGAGTCCTTGCTAGCAAACAGGTGTCTTGACTCTACATTATGACTGGGCCAAGGAATTAGGAAATCCCTCGGTGATATCTCAAGCATCATCGTTACTGCTGCCTCGTAGTAAGTACCTATAGGCATGCTATAACCGGAGTGATGCTCAACAACAGGGTCATACGTGGTGTAGTGGCTCGAACTAGTTGATGAGGGAGTGGTGGTACTACGCAGGCACCTATCCCGAAGGGGCATACACCGTCATCAAACTTCGCGCCTATGGTCAGTTTGACTAGGTCGTCCCGTAACGATCTGAGACCCAACTGAAGGAGACCAACCATGCTCTCATCGTATTACTTATAATCAGCTTCTTCTTCCAGTAGACGGAATACATCAGGGGAGAACACATCTCCTAGAGCGCTATCACCTAGTACCTGATAATCATCCCCACAATGAGTCTGTCATTCTCCTATTGCCACTCATACCCCCGTTCTATAACGTATTTCATCGAACTTGGAAGTAGAGCCAAATCCCCAGTGGAGTAGAGGCTCAGATAGTCTAACCGTTGCAGAGTCTAACCCAGCAGACCAATGCAGTAATTCGCCAGTCATAATGTTCTGTTGTTTGAGACTATCACTAAGCTGCCCCTTAGCATCCCCAGCACCTCCAGTACCCATCACGATGTTGGTTAGAATATCATCATTTGACATTGAATCAGCTAAGGCCGATACCTAAGACACCAATCCTGTTTCATGTGCTTGCTGCTCGTAGGAGGTCCCTGTTACAAAGATCCTGGTCATAAGATACTCTGATTTGGCCGCCTTCCTCCTGGACGTGTGATACTCCAGTATACTATCGTATATAGGCTGACATCATCTCTATCGTATTACTACGAATATGACTGCTACCTTGACGACACTAGGCTTTGCCAAGGAATCGCCTCTCAAGAGTAGGAAGTCCTGCTGAGCCAGTGGACACTGAGTTACTCCAGACCCAAATGCCCGGAGTACTTCGCAAATCGAGGAGCCTAATTAGAGGACCTCCCAGCCTGGGCCACCCTACCATCATGTCCTTTACATGTATCCGCCACTCCGAGGACCGTCATCCTCTTGCTACGTGTGAGGTGCCCTTCTACTGTTGCTGTGTTGCATTGGCGGCATAAGACGTACACATTTCCCAAATGGAGAGTGTCCAAAGCTAAGTCGACAGTATGTTGAAGTAAAGTAGTACCACCAGGCAAGGGTAGGAGTCCTGAATATACTAATACTGTCGATCAATGCTGCTCACGTGTATGGCTATTACCTGCGATCCGATCAGCCTCAGATCCTCCACCGAATAGGGTCTCAATTTGGCATCCCTCATCGAAGTTCTCAGCCAATACGATACATGCATTAACTCTGTATTGGGAGGATGTAGGATCATCCTCTGTACAAGCCCCACCAGCCTTGTGCTTATTAGCAGCACCTCCCTTAGAGGAGCCTCCTTTCTTGCCACCCATTGAAACAAGGCCGTAACTACAATCAAGTGCCACCTAGGATAACATCCCCCCCACTAAGAACTTTGGATCGGTCAGGATTTCCTTGAGAAATGGGGGATCAGCCTGTGTTATCCTCACAAGTTCCAACACGTGTCTCCACGCGTGTGGGCGAAAATTCAACGGTTTCACGTCACTACTACGCCTTGGTTGAGGTGTAAATGATCGATAGAACCGGCGTCGCTGGGTAGCGTGTAGAAGTCCTACCAGCTGGTGTAATCTGGATTTTGGAGACACGCTTCGCGTCATGAGAGGCGGATCAATTAACAAAAAAATTTGATAAAATTTGTGATAGACATTTTACGTTAGGGCCAAATGGTAGGTTAGTGTGGCCATATGTGAGCGTTGCCTCAAGGGTTGCTAAGGGGCACTCGGTGGGCCTATTAGCTTAGAAGGGGGGGATACCTTGGATTCTTCAGACGTTCCCATCATAATAGAAATGGGCCGATCTGCTAAAGCAACACGACAGACGTCTTATGAGAAGGTGAAGAAGCTCCGTAAGAGTAGGGAATGGAAGAAAAGCGGATCAAGAGTAATAACGAGGGTTACCGGTATCTACTATCGAGTCATCCGCAATAACATTGTGGCACTTGCCATGACTCTATACATTCCCTTGAGTATTAAAACGCTGATATCTGAGTAGAGATACTGCACAACTCTGAGTCGGAGAGATAACTGTTCCGTCCGATAGGGGTTATAGGGAATGTTGCGATCCGCACTATCCGGAAGCATGTTTGACCTTATCACACAGTGTATTATCTACGATACATATTACGGGCGTCTCCAGCTAGCACGTCAGAATACGTTTGCATGTATAAGTGTATTGGCATGACCTATTGTATTATATACGTATTGTTGGAAGTCAGCTCTGAGAGCATGCACGTTATTTCTAAAGTTTCCCATGTTTTGGGATGATTGCACGTGCTTATTCGTAGCATTTCGTTCTCCTCCCACCTCCCTCTGGGCTTCTTACACCAACTATGTGATGGAATAAGTGAATGGTGGCTTCTATTAATATTGTCGTTCTAAGCTGTTTACATCAGGCTATTCGCAAAGAGAAGAAAGAATCTGCTCGGGAAGCGAAACTTGAAAGGGAGCAGCAGGAGGTGCCTGTCATCGAGTCGACGGAGGATTTACCTCATGCTGGAGATAAGGCTGATATAGATATGTAGAAGATGACCTCTATTGGGAACGTAAATGAACAATGGCCCTTGTTTCATACTACTACTCAAGGAAGCATGTTGCTTTTATAGTATCCTCACACGGGTAGTGTTTGCTTTCATTATACTGCTTTCTGTCTCGACGACGATGACAGTATTAGAATTGATGATCCTCCATCACTACTTAACGCAAGCATTGATAATGATAGTAATCATGATAAGCCATACATCGGTGACAAGAATAATGAACTAGGACAATGTCATGTAAGACATAATGGTAGCCTGTCTAACTGTACGCCATTGTTCGAAAGCTGATCGACTGATGTATCCAGCTCCGTCAATATCGAGGAAGTAGAATAGGATCTGATCCAGCAATTCTGAATCTACTCCTATGTGTATTGTTCTATTACATTCACAGCATCTATACTCGTTGTAAACTTGGCCGTTCTTGCTGCAGCCTGTAGTTTAGTCAGGGTTACTCTACCACTAGAGATGCCACAGGCCTTGTCCAGATAATCATATGCATCATTAGTGGAGCTGAGGCCTTTTATCCACTCTTCGAAGGCTGATGTATACCTAGGTAATATCGCGATACCATCGTCCCTCGTCTATTCAACCTTACTCGTAGACTTCCTTCAACCATGCATGAAACTCCTGTGTTTTTTCTTTACTCATAGTAGATGATGATTCCGCAGGGTGTGTGTTCCCATCCTTCTCATCATGTTTTTCAGTTTTCTTTTGTTGTACTCTTTTCCGCCACTTGACAGCCGCTAGAACTGCTTTGCTAGTGAAATTTACCGGAGTTACTGCTCTCCTTGATGCTACTTGAGGATTCTCGTCATCCTTCTTGGACAGAGCCGTAGCATCATGGATGGTACTATCACCTTGTGGTACCACCACAACTGGGCTCACGTGGCCATACCGCTCCAACGCTTCATCATGACTTCCCTCCATCGGAACAGCCTCGACCTGTTCAGCCGAACACCTTCGAGCATGCTCTACTTCGGCGTGCTGTTCTGGTATAGCGTCTACTGATGTCACAAAAGTTTTACTCTCTCGAATGTGCCCTGAGAAAAGTAGTAATCACTATAGTAATCAAAATGTACCCATCATCCTTACGCCACTCTGAGATGAGGTCTGCGGCAATGTCACACTCTTCAAAGTTGGGTGATATGGCTGACGACTGATGCCCTACGCTGATCTTCGATGTACACACTAACGGGCTTAAGTGTTTCCTCACGAAGTGGATGTATCTACATAGAATCACTATATCATACTCTCCTAGTTGCCTATACCTTACGTGTCAACTAATGTCCTACTGCCACCATGACGGTGTTCTCCCTCTTTCTGTACGGGATAACAATAGTTGGCGATCATTGCTATAGCTCTCTGGAAACCTTTGAGTCTAATCCTCCTCATGCCACCAGGTAGGAGGCAACGACAATGCACACTGGTGGCCACCGATGACCCTACAAACTGAGACACAGGCGAGATAGTGATGAGTCAACACTAACGTGAGTGATGGTATTACATCCAATACACCAGCTTGCTTAAGAAGACGCCTCCAGTGTGTCTCTCCGATGCCTAGTTTACATTGGTTCATACATATACCCGAATATACATCGAACACACATTGCTCTGCTGATGCTAACTGTTCGAGTTTTGATATCCCTTTGTGCGACGACGATTCGTGATGTCTATTGATGTCGTGTTCCTCCAGATTGTACAATTTTCCATCGTAGCCCCGCATCGTACTATCCTCTGATGTTGCACCAGTACCAAAGCATGAGAACGCCATGCAAACACAAGATGGATAACAAAGCAATGGATAGACCAATTCATAGAGATCTTGCAAGCTCGTCCTCACTTAGTGATTTCTCAACGTAAGATAGACGCCTTGAGCGCGGAAAGAGCACATTGACGTTCTTCACTGGACGATTCATCAAGTAACCATCCGAACTGCTAAGACATGCTCTTGAGGCCAGCATATGACCATGTGGGAGCGACAGGGATTCATGGATGTGGAAGCTAACGAGAGTGGATACTCGTACACCTCATGTTGACATGAAGATATTCATTCATACATGCTCTTACAGGTTGAACAACATGTCGAACTGGAGGCATTAGTGGATAGTGGTTCCCCGTCCAATGCTTCTCGTGAAGTCCCTCATAGATATAATTGGTCTCCCGAAGACGTGTCACATCTTTCCTATTATGGACACTGTACAATGGTGTATCGGCTCAGTAGGCTTGATGTACCCCAACCGCATGCCAGCTGTGCCACTATCATCACCAATCATCATCCCGATAACCCGTGCTCACAACGAGAGGAGGGCAACTTATAACATAACTATTACAGTGTGATCATCTACCACGGTGGAGCTTTCTGTATGAGGATGTGTATAGGGTGGGAGGAGTGAGTGAGGTTTGATGTGAAGTTGAGGGAACTCCGTCGTAAGGCACGCATCCCAGAGAGGAGAGCAATTGAGGGAGAGTGATGCCAGGGGCACATCATGTAGTCATAGTAGTGGGTTTCTGGTATACTGTTATGAACGGGTTTAGGTTGGTGAATGATAGTCGGGGTGGGTCGTAGGGGTCAACTCGGTGGGTACACTGGATGTCTCAGCAGTCTCTGTAATGCTCAGTGAGCCATCTCAACTAGGGATGGATATAACATACGGCTGAGGATCATCATAACAGGGGATGCTGGGTCTGGAAAAACATGTATAATACAGTAGTTCCCCGATGGAATATTCAGCGACCATTCCGAGCACACTATTGGTATGGAGTTCGGTGTGACGTGTCAGTAGTCGTACTTGGGAATGAGGAAGCCTTTTAGTTTGATCAACGAGACGTGTGCCACGACCATTCGGGATGGATAGTATAGAGGTATTCATGGATAGACACTTATAACGAGTGATCCTACTATGTGGAGTAACATAATGATAGAGGGTTGTATCACCGTAATGCTATCATTGAGCGATACGTACTAACCGTCAGTCCTAACATTCTGATGTCAATATCTAGTTCAATCATAAGAACATCACCAGCCCAGTCAACTGTAGACGCCAGTGCTGTTGCCGCTGACCATGATGAGGATCTACCATACATGTCCATGCATGGTAAGTATCATGTATCGTTCATATGATGTTTCCTTCAGCAAAGAGTCGATTTTTCGTTGGCCGTGTTAACCTCGAGAATGGCATTGCAACTCTGATAACGTAGTACCTCGTCACTGCATCGACATCACAGGTATATGTGATGGAGTAGATACGATCACCAGTCAGTCGAGCTACCTCTATCACTACTACCGGACCCATTGGTAGTAGGAGAAGTTGTAAATATGAAGGTGACGTAGTTGTGGAGTGATGAATAGCAGAATTGATGTTATCAGGTATACCGAGACCCCTCTGCTGAGGATAAGAGGATGCAGAGGATATTCCAATTACAGAACGATATCGCAGAGTACATGTATCATAGTATAAAAGAATTGGATCATGTAGCCTGTCTAGATATCTCAGAGATAAGGAAACACTGGACCAAGGAGATGATGCTCTCTGATTCTCGCCAATTTGTAGTGATTTCACGAGTGTTGTGTAATGGAGTAATGTTTCCGATGTAACGTCATTCTCGCAACGCAGAGCTATCAGTTTCAATAACACACGCATCAGAAAAACCTTCCGGTCGTCTTAGCGTCAATTGAGGAACTATCAACAGTCTATTCCAAACGATGAAACATGCGATAGGGCATCCTTCACCTATCAGAGGTATTCTGCTGTACATCACCAAATACTTGACCATCCTGTATCGCTCTGGCTGCAGTCTTCTGGGCCTCTAACCGTTTATCAAGCCGCGCCTTGGCTGCTTCTGCCTTTCATCTGCTGGGAAGATAAAGGCACGGCACCTAATGTCATACTACCTTTCCTGCTCAATCCAATCGAAATCATCGGGCCTCAGCTTATACATGGTTCCTGCAGTCAAACCTGTGAATGTGAATAATAGTAGATATATTGACGACACTTACACGCCATGAATAGTATAATGGCCCATGTGAAAAGGAAGTGAGCTAACTCGTCGGGAAATCTTCAAGGTCGGCCTCTGAAGAGTGCGAATCCTCAACAACATGAATAGGAGACTGATAACCTCATAAACTTATGGAAGTCCTCCCGAGGCATGTCTGTTTGGTTTTGAGGGGCGGCAGCAGGCCGACGATAACCATGCAAAGTAGGTACACGGGGACGATGCGCCTCAACCTGATGGCCCATCAATGATGGGACAAGTACCACAACTTTGACACCCTTTGAGGCTACCTCTTCTCATGGATCTATAGACCTAGCACTGAAGGTTCTCCCAAGGATGACGGTATGGTCTCGGCCCCTCCTCGTGCCTCGCCTTACAGACCACATGCCAAACATATCGATTGATTGGGCGTACGCAAGTGTAGTGATTTGAGATCGGGTGCTCATCTACTCCGGCCTCGTGACACATTGATCATTGCCGATCTCTAGAGCATGGACCCACGGAGGGATATCAGATACTATCGAATGCCCATCGACCCTCGATGCCCCTGTTTGGGGAATCAAATTGTAGGATCATCTGCTCTTTCGAACTGCTACATTATGTCCCTCTTGATGTCATCAAGAGAGACATAATGTAGCAGTCATGTGCATAATGTGTCATCAAGTTCATGATGGGGGCTGGTAGTACACGCTGGGTACTGTCATGGTTGTGGTAGTTCTTCTTATCGTGCATGTAATCGCCCCCACTTAAATTGATTATCCGGATCTCACTGGAATATCACCTGTTGAGTTGGAAGTGGCCAGGTATTACAGTGTAGCAACATCGGCGACACTATGTGTCCCTCATGTAGTCTCCTTTATGTAGTCCATCATCATCAACAACTCTCCTAATACACTATCTACTGAGCATATCCCCGCTCATACCAACAGCTACCATTGCAACTCCAACAGTTTCCTATTCAACACTTGTCTTCTGTGTTGTTGTTGTAGTACTGACTACCAGGAATAGCTAGTCGTAGTTCAGTTGGTATCCACTTCCCCTCTTCCTTGTCGTTGCTCATAGCAGAATGAATATTGGACAGCTCAACGACCTCTTCAGTATCAAGGTATGACGACATATCGTTAATAGTATTCCATAGGTTGTCCGTCATCTCAGGTTGATGGTATCGATGAGAGAGTACGTAAGGATGATCTCCGAGAGGCTTTCTCGAAGTAGTCACGGGTGGGTATTCTGGAAGAGCAGTGCACAGCAGTAACTCTGATACACGCTTAGAAGGCTCATAGATCTCTTTCGATCATCATGAGGATCATGCACCTATGAGCAGTATAAATATCCATCGCTGATGCTGCTGCTGTTGCGGCGGCTGCTGCTGCTGGTATTCCTGTCATATTTCCGGACATAACCAGCTGTGGCTTATCCTGTGACTGTCCCTCTTTCCTGTCCCACGGCGACGGCGGCGGTGATTGCTGTTGCTGCACACAGTAGGGCGTATCATTATCTCATGGCTCATTGCCTTATATTGCCCTTGCTGTTATTGAGATACTCATGTTTGGTATGGGTCCATAAGCATATCCTGTTCAGGTTCGGTGAGATCGGAGATGTATTCATTCCACTTGATCGATATACTGGTGTCAGTAGAGGGTTCGGCTTCGTCAGAGTAAGCTTGCTTATATATGTTTATGAGTATCAAGTCCTACTATCAGTTCTATGAGCGTCGTGATGCTGAGGATGCCATACGTGATATGGACAATAAGGAATTCCAAGGATGCCGCATAACAGTAGCCGCTGCCATGTATAATAAGGAGAGTAGTTATGGCAAGGGGTAAGTATCACTATCATGGCTCTACTGCTACAATGCCTTCTGTCCTTCTGTTAGTGGTAAGGGATATGGCAAGGGCGGCTATGGTGGTGGATACGGCGGTGGACGCTATGGTGATCGTTCTTATGACCGTTATGATGATCGGTATGGCGGTGATAGTCGCTACACTAGCTCTGGTCCTTCTTATGGAGGAGCAGACCGTCGTGGCTCATCGAGAGACAGGAGAAACTCGAGGTAAAGTCAGATGTTATGTCATGTTTGTTATCTAATACGTCATCTTCGTATGCGATGCTGCAGTACCCTATTCAATGCTACAGTACTCTTTTCTCAGAGACCGTTCCCGATCTCCGTATGAACGCCGTCGTAACGACAGTCGTAGCCGCAGTCGTAACAGTGAGAATCGTACCAGTCGTAGACGCGAGGATAGCCGAAGTTTTTCTCGGAATGATGATGCTGATGACAGTCGTAGTGATCGTTAGAGTCTGAGATGTCTTCTAGCTTGCTAGGGACATACTAGCTAACACAAACGTCCTACTACTACTACTATAGATCAGCCTTTGTTGGGTTATGAGACCGTTGATCATCAATCACAGTATGAGTAGCAACTTGGTGACACTCTTACGTTAATGATTGTACTGATAATACTACCTCCCATCTCTGGCACCATCACTTACACCAGGATAGCTATTATCTCCGCAGTCACTGCTCTGTTGTGTTGGGAGTATCGTTGGATGACGGAGCCTTGTGGATGTCCGTGATCTATCGCATCGTTATGTAGCTTATCATTATAACTGTCTAATATTACTACTTACTATGAGTCTCCCTAATGGTCCAATTGAGAACGATGACGATCAACAGCAAGTATTGCTGACAAAGGCGAATGGTCTTGGGTTTATCGAGCCTCTAACAACCCTTGCTGAGGAGTTCCCTCACTCACCGGGTCACCAACGAAAGATTAGACTGATGGCTGAGAAAGTAAGGGGATGTACAGCTGGTGATAAGGTATCGGTTATTATCATTACATCATGGTCAGGTGAAGGCAACACACTGGCGTAGAGTGCGTGGTGATGGAAACTGCTTTTACCGTGCTTTGGGCTCAACACTTGTCGAAAGGATGCTTGTAAGAACCCACTCTACCAATGCATTCTCGATGGGTTATGTATCGCTTCAGTTAAATGGGGACATCGACAAGTTCCACGACTTTGTCCATCACGCACTCCATCTAGCCCGTCGTAGTGAGAAGGTAGATGGTATGTGGCACGGTCTACTACAGAGAGATGAGGAGGGATATCGCCGACGGGTCGGCAGAGGCTTCCTCCACTACACCAGTGCCGATAGTCCTCTCCACTTTTGGAATGAGGTAAGCTTATACGATGAGGATACCTTATTTATATCCTGATCAGGTCCTTAACGATAAGACTATGGATCACGGAATTGTGGCTTTGGTCCGACTCGCGACCTATGAGTATGCTATAGAGAACGAGGACATGGAAGTATTGATACATGAGCTAATGCGTGAGCTAAGTCATGTCCCCCTCAGGTTGGCGGTATGCCATTGTCAGAGGCAGCTCTAGCCAGCAGTAACGCCAAAACCTTCGATGAGTGGTTGGATAGAGAGGTGAGGACTGATGGTCAAGAGGTAGTGGATGAAGCCTCGTCTTCGCTGCCTCCATGTAGCCTCCTTTAGGCTGAGTCCCTTGCCATGATATTGGCTGCCTCGGCCCTTAACGTGAGATTCCTAGCAGTCCAGCTGGATCGTGATATGAGAACTCCCTTACAAAGATACGAGTAGCAGCGGTTGGGAGAGGGCTACTCACCTTTGCTGAACTAGCATTAATAGTCCTTTTCTGATTCTCGGCTCATTGTTGTAGGTTCTTACCTGTTGGCCGTTCTGCTCCAAAGGGACCAGATGAGCATTGGGATGCTATACTCCTATTCAAACCAGGGCATTATGATATTTTATATGAGTCGCCCATTGGAAGGGAGCTGTTCTCTTTACAGAACCAAAATAACGTAAGCGGATCATATATATGATATGCATAGAAATCTTGTGGTGTCACCCAGGTCATAGTGAACTGCTCTTATTGGCGTTGTAAACCAAGATGCCCGGTATGTCGATGTGATATTGAAACGTATGAAGACGTATTATGCGGTGTATCTCCAGACTGTGCTGAACTATTCCATCGATGCTGGTAATACTAGTGGTGCCTCTAGGCATGTTTACCACTGCTGTTGCTACTGACTTGAATCAATACGGTGCTTTTGTTGTAGTTTCAAGTCGATGGTAGATCGTGCGCGCGAGGAGCAGTTCCTGATAGGCTCTCCTGATGAGAATACAATCCCTATTGTGAGATGTCCAGTGTGTCGCATCAAGTTCACTGAAGCCGAGATTGATGATGCAATATCTGGCTATAGTAGAAAGGATGTATAAAACTCTAATAATCTGAACATTTTATCGTCCATTAGCATCATTTTATTAAATAATCATCCCTACCACAAGTTGTTCGTACGATAGTCTCAGGGTTTTGAGTTGTTAGTGGGAGGTACCTTCTCAGCTCCTTGAACCTCTATTATCATTGGGCATATTACCTCAACTGCTCCCCTCCAAGTTCACTATATTGACATGTCCGCGTCTGATCACACATATACGATACGAGAGTTGAGTACGACACCAACGTCTGATCATAAGCAGACACCCACTCCTGTAAAACTCATCACATTCGGACTCCTTGCGATGCTGGTATGAATATGGAGGCGTTCGAACAATGGAGCCAGGATTTATTGTGCAGGCGCTCCAGTGTAGAGAAGAGATATATCATAGGGTGTGGCCTGGGGTTAAGCAACAACATGATAGGAAGAAGAAGAAGATTTCGTTCGATAAGCACCGTGTGCTAACGAAGGGCAAGAAGTAGTCACCCATAGGGAGGGACATGAGGATATATTGGTGCTTGTTGCAGTTACCATGCACAGGCTAGCGATAGTGCTCTGAGCGAAGAGCTCCTCCACGCATACAAGGTGAGAGACTGTGATGCAGCACTATTACTACTAAAGAGTCTACGAGGGAAGCAGAATCCAGGCACTATAGTAGGAATAGAGGATGATCGAATATTCTGGGTTCTACGGCATGATCCTTAGGCAAGGTTACTCAAGCCATGGGGCCAGGTGGACCCTGAGTGGGTAGTAGCACTTACTCTTGCTGCCCAGGGACAGGTAGCAGTAGTTTTTGGGTATGTCGATAGGAGTACATGACTCATTATTAGGTACGACACCTTGTTAATGTGATGATGTGTAGCATCGATACTACTGTCTTACCAGGCTCTCTACATCTCAGGAGGCAGGCCGCTTCTGCTGTGAGCTCTTAATATACCATCTCTTGTCAACTTTGGGGAGATATAGGTGCTACAAGGTTGTGTACCAGTAGGCAGAGATTTACGGACATGGCTTCAATATTTCAAGTTGAGAGACACTCAACAATCGTATGAGCATGATAGCAGCAGTGGTGACAGCGAGGAACTCTTGGAGCCTCTCCTAGAGGATGAGATACTCGAGTAATAGGGAGGGGGAGGCCTATGTGGTGCATTGTATTGTGCAGGGCGTGGATATTGGGTATGATGATGAGCCATGATAAGGCTAAGGCCAGGGAGGCGGCATTAGCTCTATCAATCCTCCAGGTGGGTATCATTATCATCATGGTACTGTGATATCATTTGGAGTAACCCTCGTAGCTTGGAGATAAGTGGATACCAGAGGAACAGCTGCACGACTTCATGAGCCGTCTATTGGGACAAGGTCGAACTGATGATCTACCCCGTCTCTTCAAAGGGGACAAGTTCCCTAAGATCCAACGCCTTGTCATCGAGGGTGAGATCCTGGGGCTTCATAATGGTGTATTATTGCGGTGCCTATTGCTTTAGGCATGGAACAGCGTGGTCTCATAAAACAAGCCGTTAAAGCGATGCTGGCATTCGGTATGTCCGAAGAGGACTTCCCCACAGTAGCCGAAGCACACTATCGTAAAAGGATAAGATGGTGTATCTCTAGCGGAGACGTTGATCTAGAATCATATATTGGCACTGCAGAACTAAGGGGTAATACTATACATTCGATCATATTCTTCACTTTTTAACACATAGGTCGTCCCTCCCTACAGCAATTCTGGTGTGAACAGCTCATCGACGTTGGCCACACCTGGTTGGCAATAGCATTCTATCGATCCTTCCCTCATGATGATGTCAAGCAGTGGGAGGATGGTATGGGCAGTATCAAGGAACAGATAGAAGAACTCGAGAAAGATGCTCCTCAGTTGGAAGCTCAGTATGATGCTGAGAATAGCAAGGTACATCTGAGTTATATTATTACTCCTTTTACTGATCATCACGTACCCTCATTTGATAGTTCTTTCAAAGAGAGGAGGAGAATCATCTATCTCTCATGGATGTCCTGGGAGGCCGTGGAGTCCGCGATGTACACCTTATCACAACTGTTAGTGAACTTAAACAGCTCATTAGCGAGTGGGAGGCCGAACGGTGAGCTACAGGGTGCTGTCTTAGTCTTTTAATATGTAACCCTCCTTTAGAACCATCATCGGCCTGGATTCTGAGTGGTCCATTTTCCGTTTGGTATTGGATCCTGGATGTAACCAAGCTGACCTCGTCCAACTCGCTACCTCGGACAATGTGTATCTTGTGGATATCTATGCTGGGGAGGAGGGTCTAATCGATGAGATTGGTATATATGGATCAGAGCCATTCCATTCAAGGATCGTCGTGTTCAGGACGCCTGGTTGAATCGAATAATATAATAGTGGTGGGGTTTGGGATAGCTGGTGACCTACGAGTGCTGAGGAGCTCGGGCATGGAGGGCACAAGGGGTGGGGTATCATCACCTCACCGGATAGTAGACCTCAATGATCTAGTCGATGGGTAATCCTCACCATGAGGTGTCTCTGTGCTTATCATAATAGACACCATCATTCATCACAGTTATCTACCATCTCGTAAGGGTTCTAGTAAGCATCAGAGAGGCCTAACAGAAGTCGTGAAGTACTTCTTGGGGAAGCCACTATCCAAAGTTATGCGTTTGAGCAACTGGCGTAGAAGGCCTCTCTCCTATCGGCAAGTCGAGTATGCATCACTAGATGCTATTGTACTGCTAAAGTGTATTGAGAAAATCCAGAGCAGCATCGATCCAAGTCTAGATGTGAGTGTCAGTCGTACCGTCATGTTTATGACTAGTGTCTGGTAACGATCAGTTGTGGAATACCGACGCTGCACCAAAGCGACGCCATGTCCCAGCAAACAATATCCCCACATTAGGAGTGTCCAGAGTGTCGGATGGCGCTGCTGAGGAATCCGATACAACTGAGGAGGAGGATCTTCTCCTCTCGGACAACTCTCCGTCACCGTATGAGCCTGCCTGTGCTTTACTGGTCCACCTCATTTTATAGGCGAAGGAATGCCACCATGGATGATGCCCGCTCATCTACTTATCGCAATACTGCTGAGGCTGGAAATTCGAGGAACCCAACGCCTGGCGAGACAAGAGAGGAAGGAGAGTACGACAAGGAAGAGGCAAGACTTTAGTAGAGTAATATGATAGAGTAATTGTATATCGATAGATTGATTGGTCATTATACTTTAATGGTGAGGAGCCGAAGCTCGTATGCCCTGGTGGTATGGGCAGATTAGTACGTAAATTACGTGGTCTGGGTGTGGATACACTCGAGCTAGACTCCTGTGATCCTGCCACACTCGAATATATAGCTGAGACCCAGCATCGAGCAGTCGTCGTTAATTATCGAACCAAGATTAGCAAACGCAGATGGTGTAATGGGGTTAAGTAAGATGATAAAGAGAAGGGGGTTGATGCTAACATATAGATGATTCAGATGCTACGTCTTACCAGAGTCATGCAGCACAATGGATGAACAGCTCAATGCTGTGATGCAGGAGTTCAAGGTTGAGGTAGATCCAGATTCACTCCTTGGACGATGTGTTGCCTGCAATGCGAGGGATTGGATAGTTACCACTGACAAGGATATGGTGAAGCATGAGGTCGACTCCGATTCCCCTATCGGTGCTCAGTATCATCATCATCATTCCAGGTTCAACCTATGACATTGAAGTTGTATAATAAGTTCTATGTGTGTGGAGGGTGTGGAAAGGTGTACTGGGAGGGTGTGATGTTCGAGAAGGCCGTCACACACCTTCGCAAGTTCGTCAATCACGATCGATTCGATCAATCGGCCTCAGAGAGCGAGAGCAGTGACGAGACTTCTGACGAGCGGACGAGATGGGCCCGAGCTCTACGTGATGGTACCATAGATTCTACACAAGCTCGTAAACTACATGACAGAATGATTTCTGAAAAGTTGACTGAAGATATTGTACATGATGATCGTGAACAGAAGACGCTAGAGTGTATTGCTGAACGTAACAAGGCATCGTCAAATGTTAATCATCATCATATTTGTGTTTATCGATTGGCTGCGCTAACGTATTTTGGTACTGTTCTTTACAAACATTGGAGATGTGAGTAGTCCTTCGGCGAGATATTGAGTTGTCACAGATGAGCTTGAATGACGACTTCAATGATAGCAACTCATCAACCGCCTGGAATATCTACGGTAGATCCATCTAAATATTAATGCATTCCAGAAGAGCTGGTAGCATTATACTGCTGTAGTGGAACATACTCGAGGTTGCTATGCCCGTTTAGCGACTAATGCAGACACACAGACGCCTCCCTGGTGTCTTCATCCCAGCTTGAATTAAGTATGACAGTCATCGCTGGTCTAGCTCCTCGAATGATGGAAGTGGAAATCACCATGAATTTTGTACTTGAAAATCGCGCTGTCGGCGGAGCGATGCATCGAGGCGACTTTAGTGGGAAAAATCAGTCCGTCCACGTGAAGCAGTTAGCATTGCATTGCATCGACATTGTAGCAATCGTTGTATCCCATCCTGGATGGGACATCCAAGCTATGAGCAATGTAGTGTTGAAGCGGGACAACGGTAGATCCGTGTAGTATGATATCATCATTACTCCTGTCTCCGTTATAACACAACGCTCGAAGAACAACAATGCGCTGCGCTATTCCTCGAGGAACTTCTGATTTGGATGGAGTAGAGCTTTTAGCTATGGTGATGGTTCGGTAGTCGACTAGTTCGATCAATTATCGTGGTTGTTGTAGTAGCGTGAGTAACTGCCAGGTTTAGTGTGATGGTTAACCCTACTCGAGGTTTTGGTGCTGCTGCTTCTGCTGCTCCTCCCCCGACTGATGCCGAGAGGAAGTCTATTGAAGCCGAGATTCAACAACTACAACGGAACTTTCGGGTTTTGGAGAACGATAAGCGCAACTACAGTGAGGTGTCCCAAGGTGTTATACGCAAACAGAGAGCGACTATCATGAAGCTATCTCGAGAGAACAAGAAGATGAAGCAAGAGCTTAATGATACCAGAGCCTTTACGTCTTCAAAGTCTGAGCATAAGCTTGGTACAGAGCGATTACATAGGATAGAGGTAATCTACACTTGACTTGCTCCCGGTTGGTCTCCCGCCCGGTGTATTATCCTGCTCATGATGTTGTTTTAGGAGGAGAAGGATCGCGTCGACGCCCGATTGAGGGATGAGGCTGCTCGAGGAAAAGTGGTGGGTATTCAGTTAGTGTAGTCCCTATTCAACCGGTCCATTGTGTAGATTGATGATCGTATTGGGGTCCTCGAAGATAAGATTCGTTCTCTGCGAGAAGAGCTTGGTAAGTCCCTGAGCTCGTTCTTGGCGTAGCCTTTCGAGCGACGACACTTGTTTCTCTCAGCTCGCCGAGGTGGGATCAATGCCGCTAAGGAGACTGACGAGGCGATTGAAAAGCAGGTCAAAGTCCTGGACAACCGGCTTGAGAAGAACCTTCAGAAGTTCAATGAAGTAAATTAACTCGGTCGCATTCGTATGTATGTGATAGGTGTATTTGTAGGTCATCGCAGTTAACACCAGATTACGGGATCGGATCGATACTTTGAGGAGGGAAAGGGTTGTATTCGACTCCATCTATAGGAAGCTCGAGGTATCACATGATAATGTTTCATGAATGTTATCGTCTTGTTGTTGTAGATAGAACTTCAAGAGAAGAAGAAGGAAATGGCCAACATCATTGAGCAGGCCAATGCAGCATACGAAGCCCGGGATCAGGCTCAGGTGAGTAGTAGCGATCTGGTGAATGACTTTAGGCAAGTCTTGCTTGCCTGTGGTAGGCTCAAATGACAGCTCTCAAGCAGCAAGCCGATAGAGAGCACCACGAGTTCGAGAAGGAGTGGAAAGAACTGGGCCGCCTTATTGAGAATGATAAGAAGATGAAGGTGAGTCTATTATGGAGGTCATCCTTACAAGCTTGTTATATCAGGACTTCATAAGGCAGAAAGAGAGGTCTCGGATAGAGGATTCTGGGAAGAGTGGCAACTCTGACGTTCTCGCTCTAGATAATCTTAATGTAGGACTAGTGGGTTATCCTGTTATTAGAGATCATCATCTTAGGATGAAATGGGGACAAGTGAGGACAAGGCCGATATTCGTATGACGGCAGATAAGGTCATACCGTTGTTTGTATTATATAGGCATTCTCATTATCGACTGCCAGATTGAAGTTTACGACGAAGCTTTTAGTAAGATTCAGAGTGCTACAGGCATCACAGATATCAACGAGCTGGTAAGTGTTGTTGTGGGCTCGAAGTTTATCAGTACTCTTCCGATTCATGGTAGGTACAGAACTTCATAACTGCGGAAGATCAGAACTTCTCGCTCCTCAACTACGCCAATCAACTCTCAGAAGATATAAAGAAGCTCGAAGCCTCTATTACAGATTTGACCCGGGAGTTTGACTCCCTGAAAGTCGACGAGTCGCCTCCTGGTAAATTATCCACAGGTAGCGTGTTCTGATTGATAAGAGATCTCGATTCGTGTGATACTACAGGTAAAAGGCCTACCACCGACGCAGTGTCGCCAGAGTTCCTGTCGCAACTCGAGAGGAAGTGGAATAAGGCGGACAGGAAGGCAGAGAGCTACGAGTTGAGGTACCAACAGGCATTGAATACCTTGACTGGCGTAAGCTTCTATGATGGCTGCTCGTTGAGGGTATTTGTTATCATCTTAGGTTCGCGCTGGTATACAGTCGATATTCAATTTCTTGGGTTGTGATCCTCCTCCGCTAGCTGTGCTAGACGACTTTGAGGACGAGACGGGTAGTCACGGTCTGAATGAGGCAGTCGTCTCGGAATCTGCCATGCTATCCTATCTAGGAGTCATAGAGAAGGGTAATACACTCGTGCAATGAACCGTGCCCTGTGCTGCATCGTCACCAGCATCATGTGTTGGTCAGCTGTCAACGAGATTCTCCGAGTATATGCTGCCTCTCAAGTAGCCGTTGTTAGTGAGGAGACTGGTGAAGCTGATTACGCTATTGGAGACAAATACCTCATGCCCAAGGCAGTGGTTGCAGTAGCGCCAGCGTCGTCATCGTCCAAGCCGAATGATGCGGGCACGTCATCGGGTAGAAACGAGACCATTCCCTCGTATTGTGATCAAATGTATGTCTCTAGCATTCATGACGATCAAGTTGCCTTCGACCATAGAGGATTACTCGGATGACTCAGAGATGGAAGATGATGATGAGGATGATGACGATGATCAGAGTCCTACGCTTTGGTTCATGGTATCATGGATTACTCGTGTCTCAGGGCCTTTCACAAGAGAAGAACTCAAAGCTAGGTCCAAACGGGATATTGCTAAGAGACGAGAACGTGAAAAGAAGATGAATGACAATAATAGGAACGATGGTGCTCCATATGGGTAGTAGGAGAACTATCTTTGGTGGGATCCACGTTCATATTCCATGGAGGATTGTCGCTAACAATGACAATACATTGTGTTGTGTTGCCTGGCTGTCTCCCAGATCTCCTACAAGTTGTAGCTCGCTGTTATAGTTCAAGTTATTATTATTATATGATCTCCATGGTTAATGGAACTGCCTCATCGTTCCTACGGCCTGGCCTAGTAGCTGCTGCTGGACCAGCTGCGGCCGCTGTGGCTGCCGGTAACAGTGTGGCATGGATGAGTACTGCACCCCCAGATCATTTCGACTATGATTATGTAATACTATTTCTCACTTGGCTATCTTGTAGTTTACTCTACCATACTCTGTGTGTGTTCGTCTCTAGTTGTATCATCTTTCATTATTTAGGTAGTACTCGGAGGAGGTAGTGGTGGTATGGCTTCGGCTAAAAAGGCTGCGGTAAGTTACGCTTGTGGGTTCAATGCGTTATCTATTCTAACCTGATCTGCATACCTTATTGTTGATATTATGAATGATGTTCCTCTTCAGTCATATGGTGCCTCAACCTTACTATGTGATTTTGTCTCACCTTCTATCACTCGTGGAACCAAATGGGGTCTTGGTGGTACATGTGTTAATGTTGGCTGTATTCCGAAGAAGTTAATGCATTATACTGGCACTTTGGAAGGTATGTACTTGCATAAATGATCATCTGATGTTATTGTCATTGTCAGGCCAATTACGTGATGCCAAGCAACTGGGTTATACTGAGATCCCCGAGAAGAAGGCTGGTGATCACTATCAACATGACTGGAACACAATGGTTTCGGACATACAGATGTATATCAAGAAACTCAATTTCATGTATAGGACAGGCCTGAGGAACGGAGGGGTCAGTGGCCTGGCAGTTGGGATTGTTGTTTATTATTGTTGTATGTTCAGGTCGAATATGAGAATGCCTGGGGATGCTTTGACCCTGAGGCTGGTCCACACACTGTTAAGCTTACCAACAAGAAGGGAGAGGTTCGAACAGTTACTGCTAAGAACGTACTCGTTGCAACTGGTGGCAGGCCTCGAATTCTGGATATCCCTGGAGGTAATATCGTCATGGCTTTATGACGTTAGTATGTACTATCTCCAACTGTCAGCTCGGGAGTATGGTATCACCTCGGATGATCTATTCTCTCTCCATACACCACCAGGAAAGACTTTGGTAATCGGTTCCCGATACATTGCTCTTGAGTGTAAGCCTCTCATCACTATTTACTTGTGATAATGATATTGGGTGTTCTCCTGTCCAGGTGCTGGGTTCCTTACGGAACTAGGTTACGATACCACCGTCTCTGTGAGATCTGACAAGGTGTTGAAGAACTTCGATCAGGACATGGCCAACAAGGTGAAGTCCGTGATGCAAGAACTGGGTAATGTTGTTGGTTATTCTCTCGGTTCTTCTATGGTATACTCATGTTGCAGGTACCAAGTTTCTCATGGAATCAGAGCCGGTTTCACTCACTAAAGAGGCCACTGAGGGCTCTCGCATAGTCGTCAAATTCGAAGACGGAACGAGTGATGAATATGATACTGTTCTCTTTGCGACTGGACGAACCCCATCTACCGCCAATCTCGGCCTACCATCCGAAGCTTTCGCGAGTCCGACTAGTGCCAAGCTCATAGTGGATGAGAAGAACTTGGTTAGAGGTAGGATGACCTTATATACGTGCTTAGTTATCTTCTATCATCTTGAGGTACACCCTGTGTTTACGCTGTTGGTGATGTTCTCAAGGGAAAACCTGAGTTGACTCCTGTAGCTGTCAAGGATGGAGAGTTGCTTGCCGATCGGTTATTCGGTGGCAAGACCAAGCTCATGGACTACAGCGGCATTCCTACTACGGTTTTCACACCTGCCGAGTACTCCCATGTTGGTATGAGCGAGGAGGAAGTAAGAACGAATATGTCTTCCATACATCCTTAATCTATGATCGATAACTTCAGGCTCTGAAGGAGTATCGTCAAGATGAAATAGAGTGCTACATGTATAGTTGGGGATCCCTCGAGTTATCTGTAACCCATAGGCCGAAGGTCCCGTCTGCTATGGTAATATCATCCTTATTCCGCATACCTGTTCTCAATGGCTCCCTCTGCTCAGGCTAATGAGTTCGATGAGGAGATGTCCCCGAACTGTATGTGTAAGATCGTTGTCCATGAGCCCGATGAGAAGGTTTTGGGATTCCATTACATTGGTCCCGCTGCTGGTGAAGTCATTCATGGCTTCGCTATTGCATTCAAGATGGGCTTGACGAAGGCCCAGATCGAAGATGTAATAGCTATTGACCTCTTTCAACTCCTCAGTTACGACGATTTATCCCTTTCAGATTGTCGGTGTTCATCCTACCGATTGCGAAGCAGTCATTCAACAAATGGATATCACGAAGTCTAGTGGTGAGAGCTACGTATCATCTGGAGGCTGCGGTGGTGGCAAGTGTGGATAAACTATACAACAACAACAACTGCTGATGATGATGACGATGAGTACGATGGCTCTGTGAATGTTGTATCCGTTGCTCATTATCGGAGTTGATTTCTTATCACAAACTATTCGGAATGGAGTTTAGTGACTGTTTATCATATTCACTCGATGAACGCGTGTAGAACGCTACTCCGTTCGTTGTTCCTTTGAACACTAGTTGTTGTGTTATGTAGTTGTAACATCCCGGTGATCTCAAGATCTCTGTGCGACTCTATCCTGTCAAACTTAGCTATCACTGTTGTTGTCATGGTCAATAGCAAGCCTTTAGTACACGGCTAATACACAATCCTGCAGTAGCTAGAAGTTCGGGATAGAAGCTCTCGTGTATGATGGGATGCTTATTTAGGCTTTACGAATCCGTAAATAGGGCCTGTGCTTCGTGAAAGAGTAGGATAAAGTAGACAATAAAAAGGGACGTGAGCTCACTGCTACCGAGTGAGTACACACGACTTATGGCCCGCTTATATGTATTATCGATATCGTTAGGGGGGCACAATGTTAGCACATGATCAACATCAGGCCGAGTGGAGTCGAGATCCTGACCAAAGGGTAACTTGGAGCTGTAGGCTGCTAATGAACCATATTTCGAAGAGTCGTTATGGCTGTTGTTGATCCGGATGACTTCCTAAATGGCAGCCCCGGGGTTTTCCCTCATCGAACTTCTCAGAGAGTCATGTTAATGAATGCTTGGGGAGTAGGGTTTGATATGAGAGTCTTGGACTGCTGATCTACACTTTAGTATTGCACTGCCGTCTCCCATATCATTAGGGGTACAACCCTGCCTGGAGATTTCACTAGTCTTACTGCTATGAGTGGTACACCATGAGTCTGTTATTCAGTCGTTGGGAAGCATTGGGCTCTCTATGGACGGAGCAATACCCCCCACATCTCCTACCTCCTCCAGTCCCTCCTCCCATAGCACCACCACTAGCGCTCTGTTCACCGACTCGCGACGAGAACAGCAATATCAGCTGTGACTATGTAGTGTGAGGCCTAGTCGTGGTGAACACTCTGGGCTCACATAGTCTCACATGTTAGTTCAAGTGGGCTCTCGTCGCCTGGTAAACCACAACGGAACGTCGCCTCATTCCGGGCCTGACCCCGTTGGCGGGGATCCACCAGTCCCATCGATGCAGAGACTGCACGACACCTCTCCACTTAGGAGTATGCTGTCTGAGATATTCTCGCGGTTACGTTATTCCGCTTGCCATATCTGTCAGGTCCTGAGTTGAAACTCTTTGTTCCGGTAATGCGACCTGCCCAACAGCAGCAACAACAGCAAGAAGCGACATCCCACTCTCCAACCACCGTGAGAGTCTCTACACTCTTCATAGTCTACCATCGATCGTCTCTGGATAGCGTATTGTCCGAAATGGGTATTTTCGGTGGTATATATAGTCAATGCCGAACCGATAGTGTCCCCCTGCATTCTGTATGCATGCCAACTCTGCAATACCAATCGATATCCCTAGTATTGGACCAGAGCAACAACGATATCTCCTTTCTCATGCAAGGTCTAGCCTTCTTAGACCCAAGTCGTCTGCCAAATATCGTCCATTACGGTGTGTCCTATTCATACGTATTGCACCAATCATGCATCTCAGGCTCTGAAATCCAGAGTCTGGATGTTTCTCGAGGCTCAACGCGCGGAGCTGGAGAGATATCTGGGTAATTCTCACCTTGTTGAGAAGTCTTCCCAATTGGTCTACTCCATAAGGGTTAGCAGTTCATCGAAGACTTCAGCACGAGTTGGAAATGTGATTTGTTGTGAGCCATGGCTCCACTGGATGAACACCTCCTCTCCTCTCGCTGCTGATCATAACGGTGCCCTCATCATTATCATATATCGTTGCTCCGTAGTATGGAAATTATACTTCCATTGTGTTGATGCTGTTGCTTAGTCTATGCCATTAGGCTCGCTTCGTTTGACGTTCCACTACGGCATCGGCAGCGTAGTTGATGATGATGCAGTTTCTTCTACTATTATTATGATTATCATAATCATCGCAATGAACGAGGTATGATGCCATTTGGCTACTTATTTTTTGCCAACATGTTATGGATGTGTTGGACGATATTAATGACGATGCCCCTTCATCTTGAGTGAGTGATTGTATGCACCCCTTTTATGTGTGGCGAGTTGAGTTCGCAGTGGAGGGGAATCAAATGGCTTACCCACCTGAGGCTATAAGCATTGCTCTCCTGACTATCATGTCGTCGATGTCTCCTCCGACTGATGACGAACAAGATGCCACCAATGGCGAAGTCTCCTTGAACATCTCGGTAGCCCTGACCTGACTACTCTTGGCATGCGTAATGATGGTGCGCACATGGTATCGGATTCAAACAACTGATTATGACCGAGAAGTGCCAATAGTGTTATCAATGCCAGCTGTAGGCAACCTCTCTGCCGAATTCTGAACTAGAGGACACGCAAATCAATGCGTGTACTCAGTGCTAAAAACGCGTTTTAGCCTCTGAATCGAAAGTGCGAGAGATCCCCGGATCGATTATCCATCCCAACTTTCTCTGCAATTATTTTCACTCAGTTGTATGTAGTGCCAGGATCAGGACTTCGCTGCCCTATTCACGGCTATTCGCAACGGAACAGATAGCGATGATGTGACGTACCCGATTGATGATGTCACTAGGCTTCTGTTTCTCTTTTATGATCGGATGCCCGTCTTTCCTGTGGATATCGCCAAGCAGATGTCGCAGGTGTTAGACTTCCTGCAGGGGAATGAAGACGGTGAAATGCTAAAGGTGCTAGGATGATCATGCTACTACTGACTATGATGATATCATCAAATGGCTTCGTCCAAGGAGACATGTTAGCTCTAGATAATGCTTAGAGCGATCTCCTTTACGGTATACCTTATACGTGTAGGTCAGCCTTGAACTATCCTCGAATGCTGACAGCAGATCCATGCTTGCCCGTGGGCGAGTATCTGAAGGGGATCTGCCTGGATCGTATTATATTAACCATTGCATCGCATTGGAGGACTCCGAAGGGGAGGGTAATGGTTGGTTTGCTAAGGATGATATACCAGAGGGTACCTCGCATGATTTGTAATCGATCTATCTTACAGGCGTCAGGTACGCTCCTACTCTCTGAGCTGCCATTGGCACATCTATATGATGTAGACATAGAATCCCTCAGAGAGATAGAAGAGGAAGAGGGTGTAGGGCTGGGAGGAGGTAGTAGGGACGGGGAGGTCATATGATTAGGTAATGAATCGGTTTGCTTGATGATAGACGACCTCACTGAAAGCGAACTCCTCACTCGGGTTATCATAACTGATGTCCTGTCCAGAGGCAATGATTATTGGAAAGATCACCTCAAGGGGTTGCATCCTCGTTGGTATGCAACCATTAGGCATTTGGGATTAAGGTTCGTTACCTGTACATTCTTCAGTGAAGAGAGCCAAGAGAATGCGATGGACCCGGAAGTTATTCACCAGAAGTGTAGGTTTAATATTCTAGGATTCGAGACATGCCCTGAGATGACCATATATCAAGAGGTAGTAGTAGTAGGCTTGTGGCTAGAGATCACTTCCTATTCCTCAATTGACCGTAGGTATTCGCTGGCCTAAGTGGTATTGGGCTTTATGCCAAAGCTTCTGGTTTCAACCATAGTTGTTCTCCCAATGTAGGCATTATCGGAGATGTACCCTCGCGCCTTGGAGAGTTTGTTGCAGGTTAATCGCTTCGCGGTAGGCACATGCCAACATTTCGTCACGAATCGTGACATCAACCGTGGTGAGCAACTTACCATAAGCTACTTCGAACACGAGTACTGCAGGAAGGTGTGTGGGTTTTGATCAGTACCTGGTCCTAAGGTACCTATCCTCAAGCATTGCAGTGCGTAGGAAGCAGCTCGAGCATAGAGACTTTATCTGTGCATGTCCTAGATGTGTTGATGAGGTAGAGGAGGTGGAAGGTATTATGACCATCTACGTGTTGCGTGCATTATGAATTCTGGCTCAGGCCAAGTTGACCATAAGGATGGAAATAACAGTGTGGAGATGCTCGTTTTATCGGAGGATTTGAATGACTCCCTTGCGGTTGCTACAGCATCACAGCGGGCGGAAATGTGCACAGAGTTGCTCAATCGATCATTCCAAGTTGAGGATGGGCCACATCGTCAAGTATTGGGCACGAAAGCCCTGATAGAAACGCTCATCTGGTTAGCAGTGAGGTAGTACTACGTGATGGGCCCCAAGCTGAGGGCATTGGGTATTGCTGGATTGTTGCTGGTATCAACTCGCACCTAATCCTACTTTTATCTCCTTTAGTGAGCTTCAGCTCTATAATTACGATAAAACGGACGAGGCATGGGCTGCGGCCTACAACATTATCCATGATAATATGCCGGATAACGATGAATCTCTAGCACTATGCTTGATGCATCGGGTAGTTGCTAACTTACTCGAGAATAGTAAGACCTCTCCCTCACTGTTATCCAAAAATCCATCGTATTAGTCTCAGATTATACCAGAGCCAACTTGGTGGCCCGTCTTTTCGTTAAACAGCATAGCAACACTTTTGGCTCATCTTACAAGCTTATCAGATTACGGTATTCGCTGGAAGTTATATATCTCGTCCAAACGACTCTAGGTGATGAACTCGCCGGTATGCTTGGATTCCCGTATCCGTAGAATTTAGGTACTACTTCTAAAAGCAAGGATCTCAACAAACGAGAAAACTTGGTCTGGACTACTATCAAACGGGCATGGCTGACTGAGATGTGTGGGAGAGCAGCTTTGACCTCAGCTACTCAGTCCCAAGTGTGATCAACATTTAGCATTTGTCTATATGTGTAACTGTCAATTTGGGTTGGTCTTTAACGTATCATATCGGAAAGGCACGCTTCTCTCGGATGAGGAAGGAACTATAGTAGAACCGATCCATGACAATGTATGATACCACGGACGTGTCCTAGCTTGTCAATCTTTCCCTCACTCTGATGTTTAAACGAGTCCTCGGTCTCGATAGAATAAGCCGTGCCCAGTTCAACGAGGATAGCGATGCATCAGATAGTGACGATGATGGCGATGAGTTCAAGGAGCTCAGTGATAAACAGAAGCGGAGACTACAGGTAGTGGTCCAGTGCTAGAGGTAGATGTATTGACCTGTTGGTCTCCTTCAGCGTGCTATGATGCCCCTATCAGCTATCGTAGAGGGTGACACTTCCTGCAGTAGTTCCTCTGAAGGAGAGGAAGAGTTGATAGAAGAGGAAGACGAAATGGGTAATATTATCCGAGGAGTTGGGTATGTTTCCTAATGATTGCTGCTGTTCCTCTCGCCGTATCCTGGTCATTGCTCTAGGTGATGACGGAGACGATGGACACGAGGTTGTACCCAAGGTTAATGCTTATGCTGAGCAATTCCGGTGTCATCTATGCCCTGAGAAACTATTACTTAGCCACGGTGATCTTGAAAAGCATGAAGCCAGTAAGGCCCATTTGAATCGTCTCCACCGGCAACAACAACAACAACAAGGAGGGAAGGAATCTGGTCCAGGAGATGCGGGTATGTCTACTGGACTTTTCAGATATCGTATTGCAGGGGTGTTCTCGTGTTTTATGTAGGAGATGATGAGAAAGCCCCCTACAAGGCAGTCTCTTCTACCACGGCTGCAGACTCCAAGGCACCACACGCGGAAGATGCAGCCTCCTCTCCAGGTGATCTTGTTCATAACATCACTGACATGAGCTTACTCTATCTCAGATAAGATAAGCCGTAAAATGAAACGTAAACTGAAGATGAAGGAGAGACGGGTTGCCAATAAGAAGCGTACCCTCAACGAGGGCGAGATCGCTGTTAAGAAGGCCAAATTCCAAGCTAAGAAGGATCGTCGCCAGCAAAAGAAAGCAAATGCTGCTAATGATACTCAATAGTGGCGCATTACTTCAACTTAGTTCACGTTTTCCTATATCCGCTAACGCTCTAACTATTGATCCCCATCCTCCAACGTTGTTTCTACTGTATCAAACGGGATTGTAGTTAACATTCGGGGGCACTGTGTGGGAATGCCTCAGCAGTAGCTTCTTCATTTCACTTCGATGAGTGGCATACCCAGTCTAATACCCAACCATTGCTCAATGGATGAATTGTAGTAGCTCTCGAACCACGCGCTTCTTTTCGCTTGGATATCAACCGCCTCCTCACCTGAATCGATTACACAATGATCTCGCAGGATTTGCCCTCTTAGCGGGGGGATCACGTTCGATCAGTTAATCCCAGTTTGATCAGGCGTATAGCTGATACTGGCAGTGGGGAAGGAAGCATGGGTATGATGGGCTGCTGCAGATACCCCACACCGTGAATTATATTAGTTTTTCCATTGTGAGTTCAAAGCGATGCCTTACAAAATGTGGGCAATAATTGGCTATCAATCTCCCAACGTTACAGGGTGTACATGCCTCTGTACGTACCTGTGCTCCTACACAGCTAACGATATGGTATGCAGGAAGCACGGGTATACTGATGCAGGATACACGCAGCAAGGAGAGAACCAAATTATAGACTGTCATGGACAGTATAGAGCATCTTTCTTCTATATCATCGATATCTCCTCCAAGGGCTAGCATATTTTATGATGACGAGCCAGGAGTTGCAGGGGCTATAAGCCTTACCCAGGGGAAAACCGAGAGTGATGCTACTCTAATACATGATGAATCAAAGAACACGTACATTTTAGCTCATGGTCATCGGTCATTTGATAGGCTTGAGAGTCAGATTGGACATCTATGATTACCGACGTTTTATTTCCTTTAATCATATCACCGGGGGGAACTGAGAGAGTCTCCCGAATCGCCAGATACAGGTGCGGCTTGCTGGGAGGGTAAGAACAGGGGAGTTCATTCTGTGGAGGAAGCACTGGTACGAAGAGCCCTGTTGGTCGAGGGTTGTTGGGATGAGTTGAGATATTTGACTACGAAGCTCGAAATGGAGCGCTCGCAGATCATCGCTTGTTGGTCTACTACTTACTGTCGGATCTTCTGATGGACTGTGACATTCGTCTCTACTAAACAGTTTCTCTCATACTACCATATCGGTGTTGTAGTCCTGATACGTTGGCATAAGAGTTGACCATGGGATGTTGGCTAAGTTAGCCAACCTGACCGTCGTCATGTTGAACGTTGTGAACCAGGCTACCTACTAATGCTGTTTGCTATTGATCATCATCAGGGTTATACTATCATCCTCATCAGTCTCATTCCACTGTGTGTGTTTGATGTTCGCTCCACCAAGGGATTCTGTAAAGCAACGTACACAGTGTAGACGAGGGGAGTTCTCTACCACAACAATTCCTCCTGGACATACTACAACGACCGACAGTCCGATCTTACTACGTACGGACTCCTGCAGAACTAGGTACAATGCACGATGAAAGGCGTTGGACCAGGGATGGAACTTCTGTTAGGGACCTCAACTCGTCAACTACTCTACTAGCGCCGTCGGCATTGATCCACTCTTCGATTCCATCTAAGGCGGAATCTAGACTGCCATCGAATCAAGAATCATGGTACCCAGTGAAAGCCCCCACTGGACTTGTAGCAGTAGCAACAACAACAGCATCTTCGAATGGCGATCAACGTCGCACCTCAAACAGTAAACCCAGCACTTCTTGGTCGCTGGTAGAGGCCACCTTATTGGCATTTTCAAGGAAATAATAATCATCAATTCCGAAGTACGCTGTCTGAGGAAACACTTCCAACAGATCGTTTTGGGAGAGTTGGTAGGACCAAGGCGTTATCTAGGCCCAAGGAGACTTCAGATAGGTCGCGGGTGGGGAATTCGATCCTGAATTCTCCACGTGAGATCATGCTCAGCATCTCTGCGCGTATAAGATACAACGGATAGGAAGAACTGGACTACCATTCTATGACAATGTGTCGCTCTCGACGAGTCGAGTACGGTCGACAGCCAGGAATGAGCCTGCACTGAAGCGCGACAATTGTCGAGAGCGCTTTAAAGTCAATAGAATAAACTCGACTACTCAGCTAACAAATGTAGTGATCCGCTCAGCCTCATAGGAACTCTAATACGGAGTCGCTGTAGGTTGTCGAACTCCAGCAGCACGTTGAATATCTTACCCGACAGCTTAAAATCAACCAGCAAATCATGGAGGCTCTACTGAAGGACAATCAACAACTCAGTGAGCCCCCTCCCACAAAAGGCATGATGCATCCGCTGTGTTACTGTAGATCGTGAACTCATGGAATATAAAGAGAGAGATCGAAGCCGAGCATTCGAAGTACATTATAGCAGCGGTGGAAGTGGGGTGCAGCAAATGAGGTCTCCGTCACCGCCGCAACATTCTGGTGAACCTTCGCCTAATGTGATGAGCTCCGCAGGTGTGTGTAGTTCGTGTCGTGTGGCATGATCACAAGCCGTTTAGATTCCTCGTCACCTGCACGTGAAGTTTCAAGCCTTGAGACTACTGCATCATCGCTGATGTTATTGGAGGGCAGTAGCTGTCCAGGCAGGAAGAGTATGAGTTTCGATAGGCCCATGCATATACGAGAGAGTATTCAACAATTACATACATCTTTACAGTGTGCCACATGCCATGACTGAGTTAACTTCGAATCAGTTAGTCTAACTAACGCGAAGGATCAATCTGCAATACGGTCGCTAAAAATGACCCGTTACTGATTCTTGAGTTGTGTTATTTTAATTTACACATTGTCGTTATCGGAAATTATACTAATGACATGATTGGGTTCTATTCATACGAAAAGTTTCCTCTTTTATCAGTATTTATGTGACAAGATATAACTTAGTGATAACTTAGTGATTTGTAAGAAGATGACCATTAATACTCAGTATTATCATTCGACTTTACCTGATGATTGGGCTGCATCGGTAGACTGCACCTCCAAAATAGTAAGCTCCTGTAAAGCATCGACAGCTTTTTTGAATACTCCAACCAGCCCGCTCTACTCAACCAAGCTGCTACTTCTCTACTTTTCCCACCTTCACAGCGAAAGGTGGCAATCCGAAATGTCGTTCCGCATATTGTATGTCTGCAACAGGTCTTCGCATGCTATAATACTCTGTTAAGCATTTTTCTGGGCGGCTTCTTTTAGTTTGCCGAGTCATTTCAGATTTGATGCCGACGATCGATCTACAGAATGCCAACTGATCATTATATGCTGAGCATATTATGCTCGATCACCATTTATCCATTCCACTCTATCTTTAGAAGTTGAAAACATGAATGCCCCATCGTGGATCTTAGCGACCGGACGGGCAGCGGACTGTCCAGTCATGATAATGAAGTTGTAGGCCTGCATCTCCTTCCCAAAACTGTTGTACAACTGCTAGCCTGGGAGTGAGGCGATCTAGGTAGATCGTACGCAGTGGATTCTCGCCGTGAATAGGCTCCTAAGCAACCTTGATATTGGATCTCATGAAGTATGGAATTTTCTCCATCCTTTCTAGTAGACCAATCGAGGAATCCGTCAACGACGAGAGCAAACTGGTCACGACGCATGAATTGCAGAGAATATCTACTACTTATGTGATCCACAACTTGTGAAGAGGCAACAATGAGCTACACTCGAAGAGCCGCAACCGTCTCAATCCTCGCACTGATTGCAGAGAAGTGATTAGTGCCTGGCCCCTATAGTCCTCATTTAATGTACTCCTAGCATCAGCCATCGCTTTCATCAACCGGCTTCTTGGTGTATCTGGTATATGGGCTCAGCGGAAAACTAACGCTTGATGTCGTTACAGTCAAGACTTCGTGGACCTACATGCATGGTAGGACCGATATTGTATCTCGATCTTGGAGCTGCCTAACCCGGCAAAAGTCGCACTCCGCCTCAGGGTCACCCATTGCGTTGAATACTTCAAGATAAGAAGGTGCAAACTACACGTCTGTGCATTGAGAAGTGAAGTGTAGGAAAACCAACAGCCGCCACGATGCCTTCGAGTAGTCTCGAAAAATCTCATACTCCGTGTTTCAGTTTCAGGGTTCCCGATGACCAACACCGCACAAAGCAATATAACCTGGTAACGTTGAGTTAAAACAGCATTATGGCGGTGTCGTCTTTAGCGATCCGCTGCCGTATCTCCGCTGCCGCGTCAGAAGTGAACCATTCAAGTAGCGAATCACGGGACTGCTGCTGTGAGAGAAGACTGAGGCCTTTGACGTCCGTGCTGATGTCCAGTATAATCAGCTCCAGCTGAAGGGTGAAGCGATCCGTAGCCCTACCCATTGACAGTCGTGTTACCCTAACACATTACCTCTCCGAGTTCGGTGATGCTCGTCAATCGTCCAGGGACGGTCACGCATAGAGTAGCCTTCTGCAAGGCCAGCTCGTGAGCAGCCTTTTGCTCCTTACGTCTTCCTCTTCCAGTAAATGCTACCTGCAACATCATTAACCATCGGATATCCAGCAAGTCATTCAGAGTCACTCACACGTGCTATCTTAGAGTTCTGAATTCCGCAATCTTTCTCGAGTTCCTTCGCAACTTCGTTCACCCTGGTAGCACTAGCGCACACTATAAGCCCTTTCACATGGCCTTTCTCTCCAGATCCCAGCAGGCTAGCTGGAGGACAATTCTGCAAGTACCTAAAACAGTGCAGTGCACTCAAACATTCTCATCAGCATAGGTGATTATAACCCGTATTTATGCGCATCATCAGCCCCAGGTTTAGGATAGGCGACAAATGACTCTGGTTTGAGCTCGATATCCAGGGTACTTGATGATAGCTCTAAAGCATGCTGCACAATCTCTAGTTGCTCATCAGGCACTCCGCTCGGTGTTGAACACGTCTCTCTCCATTTCCGGGCTTTATCGTCATCTAACCGCATTTTCTTCTGTGGCTGACCGGCCTCAGCTGACTCATTATCCGAATTCATACCGAATTCTGGTTCCAGATCCTCAGCATCGCGTTTCATTGGTGGAAGGTTCGCAATATCGAACTGAGAATGCGGCCTACTCTTACTGAGGTAACACAAGTGGTTCCTAATGCATGCTACGAGCATGAACATTCGCACATGGCACCACTAGCACACGAGTTGAACTATCGAATGAGATGACTGATGGTATGAATGAAACCCTGGTAGGATAGTACAAAGAATCATCTTCATAGCATGTGAACAGCGCCCCATGCTGCTAAACGGGACTTGGCAACTAGTACCAGTCATAAGCATCTGGGTAGTCATATCGCGAGCACCACGCCAACCTATGCCATAACTGTTGAGCTGACCCTGCAACATACAAGCTAAAGCATACGGGGAATTCACATACCTAGCACCAGTTCCATACTTTAAATCAAGCAGAAACTTTCTCAAAGTCGCAGCCAAATCCCTAGGCCTTTGCTCATAATACCCACCAGTCCATGGTGAATAACCCACGGCCACCGTACTACTCACTTCATGAACTAGGGGCCAAGAATTCACGTCCTGTGATACAATATTTGCTCAACTTATTAGCACGATGCTCTAACCGACTGAGCTAAACGACCAAACTGCACATGGTAAAGGTATGAAACTCACGTGCGTCCCCACTCCCCCTGTCCAATGTTGCCAAAGTGGGCACGTGGCGCTAGACTCCGGTCCACGGTATATCCAACTTTGGGCAAGGGGATCAGGGGCCATTTGAGCGACCCTCACAAAGCATAAGCATCTCTGAAAGCACGCGCGTGGGGGACTGTACTGGCAAACGAGACAACAAATGGAATGGGTTCCAAATGCAATCGATTATCTGGGTGCGCGCTATTTGTAACAGCTTCCCCCCCCGAAAGAGAGTAGGTACAAATAGTGAGCAGCCACAACATAGAACATGCTTACATATTGACATGCATACGAATAAGATAAATATATTCTTCATTAGTGTGAAGTAATTATGGCTTCAGATATATGGTTATCCGCTTGAGAATGGATGCTAAAGTAATGGTTAGAAGCATGATTAGTGATGATGATGATGATGATGATGATTAATGGTTTTTATCATGAGAGGTAGAATTGAAGAGAAATGCATATAAACTTGGGTTACATATTAAGCATCAAAATTGTGATTGAGTATTACAAATGATTGTGCAAATAATCAAGATGATAAATGTGAGTATCTTGTGTGACACAAAGGATCTGATGAGTAATTAATACAAGATAATAGTGATGATATATATGATTTAGACATATTAAAGATTGACATATTGGTAGACATTTATCAGAATAGTAGAATTAAAACTCACATAACTTAAAGGGGTGTATTGTATAGTATTGTATGATGAAGAAGGTATCGTATATCGTAAGTATAGCATGTGATGAAAAGTATGAATAATAAGTGATTGATATTAATGAGTAGAAGAATACATTAACAGTGGAATAGTGCAACAAATCAACAAAACAACAAATCATAGTATATTATCATGACAACAATCTTTACAATTTTTTCCATTTTTTTTTATTTTTATTTTATTTTTATTTTTTTTATTTTAATTTTTTTTTTTTTTTAACTTTCTTTTACATTTCTTCTACATTTCTTTTACATTTCTTTTGGATTTCTTTTAGAACAATAACCAATATAAAACATAGAATGATGTAGATAAACATGAATGAGAATGTATTATTCTGAGTCAGATGAATCAAATGGTAGATCAAGATAAAACCTTCTCTTCAAATGTCGACTTGAGTAGGTAGTACCATTATCTAAAGTGTACCTATTTGAGCCAGCTTGAGCAGTGACTCTGAATGGGCCTTCGAATTTTGGACTTCGCTTATTCTTATCAGAAGGTGCTATAATTTTGACAAATACCTCATCTCCAGGTTTTAGTGGAGTATTCATAGTAGGTAGTCGTTGACGGGATTTTGATAATTGTTGAAGTCTTGCTGAATACCAAGTCGTAGATACAGTAGAACCATCTTGTGGATGCATAGCTGCAGTACCCAGAAGCGGATCAGGTGGAGTATGTAAATGTATAAGTTGATAAGGAGATATACCAGTAGGTTGTCGAGCACGGGTATTTAGAGCATAAGTAACCTCGTTGCAAACATTAAACCATGTAGTATCATCTAGTGTATCCCACGATAGGTTATGCTCCTGAACTTTGATCTTAATGAGAGTAGTCAAGTCCCTCATGAATCTTTCGCTTTGACCATTTGCTTGTGGACAATAGATAGGAGAAAATATCCACTTGCTACTAGTTGTAGATGATGATGTAGTAGTAGTAATAGGGTTGTTAGATGAAGTATCATAATCAATAGTTGGTGAAAATAGCTTTGAGGCAGAGACATAGATACTTCCATTGTCACTTAGAATGTAGTGAGGTGTGATACCATAGGAATATTTAACCTTGTTGATTAGGTCGATAACTGTGGTAGATGTTGGTGCAGAGACAGTAGGGGCTGTAACTAAGTAACATGATAGACGATCGCATAAAATAGTCACATAGAATTTATTGCGACTGTAGAATGGTCCTGTAGTATCCATACTGACATACTCAAAGGGTATGTGTGGTAGCTGTAGTTCCCGAACTTCGTCAAGTAGTTTATTGTCATTTGGTTGAACTTTGTAGATTTGACAGTAATGGCAAGTAGGAACTACGCGTTTTATATCTTGAGCTTTGGTCTTCCAAACAAAATTTTGTAACCTCAATTTAGTACCAAATTGCCCATCATGTCCTTGTAGGTGATAATACAATATTAATAGCGTATTCAGTTTTGGGTGATCATCTGTGACATATAGACCTTCTTGGTTTGGGTGCAAGTTGGTAAGGTAGGTAGTGATTTTGCTCTTGAGGTTATCAGCGTCAATCTGTTGTACTAAGGTCCTTGGTTCAGTCGGAGGTACTTGTTGTGGAGTTTCTTGTGTAGTGACAAGAGTAGGTGTACTCTTGTTTTGCTTGCTGAATTGATTGTTATTATTCGTAGGTTCATCAGAATGGTTTGCTTGTACAGGAAGTTGAGGAACTGGAGGTAGTTCTGGCACTGATGTTGATGACGAAGAGGATGAGGATGTGGTAGGTTGCTTGTTGTCATCGGTAGTGACCGTAGTTAACGGCATAGAATGAACAGTCGGACGAGTAGATGCTTGGAGTAGAGGGTGAGACCTAGAATGATCTGGAGTTACCGGAGTTGTAGGAGCGCGTTGTGCTTGACGTCGAACTTTTACACGATTACCAATAGTTGAATCGTCTTCTAGAAGTCGTTTAGCCATCATACTCGGATGTAGGTCATCATCAGTAGGAGTAGAAACGTCAATGCCTTCACTCTCGTTAGTCGACTTCCAATAAGTTGCTAACAAAGTCTCGAGTAGAGTATTACGGGTAAGGATATCTGCAGCATTCTGAGAAGTTTGGATGTATCGAATTTCTAATGGTCCTAGTAATTGTAGATGAGTCAGTAGAGCGAGATAGTAATTCTGTTGGATAGGATTACTCTTAACACGATGTGTTCGAATAATTTTATTACACGTCACATTGTCATTACGAATAGTCACATTCGATAGAAGTTGTTTACCTGTATAATGCTCGAAAGTTTTCAGTAGACATGAACCGTATAACACACTCATAACTTCTTTGACGCTTATATGAATAGATTTATGTTTCACACTCTTCAGTAAAATTTGACGTGAGAAGAAGTAAGTACTATGATCCTGTGCTAGTACTAACTTTATACCTAACATATATTGTGATGCGTCTACATGCAATTCTAAGGGTTCACTATCAATAGGAATAACACGTGGGACTAAAGGAAGCTCACAAGATGAGATATACGTATGGAATTCAACGAGTAGAGATTGTAATTCATGTGGTAGATGCAAATCCCATGATTTTTTCTTAGTTCGATCGATCCCTTGTATCTGACATGCTGCTTCACGACTATTGCTTACCACACTTTGAAGGAGATGTTTAGTCGGAGCAACATGAGGTGGTAAGAGATCTTCAAATGATGTTGTGACTTTACCTAAAAATGATAAGGCTTCGCGATATGTAGGAAACTTAGTCCATGTGAAGTTCACGACTTCATCCCATTTCGACTGTCGTATAGATATATATTTACCCTTGGACAGGATAGTGAGACCTAACGTTTCAACTTTATCTTCTTCTCGAATTATCTTAATCTTAGAGGGTTTCAACTGTAGTCCATATATAGTGACAATATCTGATAGACGATCGATGATAGAACGTTCATGACCCAGTAAGTCTTCATCCAAATATAATGTGATATCATCCATATATGAGGAAATGAACGTGGGTGTACCTACAGTAATTCCGGAGTGACCAGACAGTAAATCTATAGGATCATCTGGTAAAATGATGTAATCGTCGGAGTGACTAGGGGGAGAATTTCTTGTAGTACTAGGAAGGATCTCGTCACGATGTGTAGCAAGGATAAAACCTAAAGCAGCTTCAAGTACTGCCGGTGATAGTGAGAGACCATATATGCACCTGCGAGCTGAATATAAGCGACCTGAAGGTGTACGAACAGTTAAAAGTTTGGATAATCTATCTCCTGTATACAAGGACATGAATGCATCAGAAACATCTAAACTGATGATCGAATGCGCGAGACGAAGTTGATGATAGATAAATTCTATTTTAAGTTGTTTGAATATCAACTTACCATATCGATCGAGTAGTTTATTCACTCCTATGCATGGGAAAATGGGTCGTACTCTAGGTTTAGTGATCGGATAGTAGTTTGTGCTGGTACACTGTGGATAATCTTGTAACTCAGCGGATGGTATTTCTACGAGTTTCTCATTCTCGACAAATTGATGAACGAGTTTATCACATTCGAGTTGAACAGTAGAATCTGCAGATTGATAGTTCTTGTGAGTCTTGACAACTATCTGTTTCTGCTTGAATGCATCATCCAGTACAGTCTGACTTACCTCAGCGCAGAATACATACTTTGTTGAGGAGTGCTCAGATGATGATGGTAGTAGTCCAATTTTCAGCCATCCATAATCTTTGAT